GTTCCCTGCGCGTGCGCAATTCCCGCAGGGAGCCAAGGCCAACTCACAATGGGGTCCACTTGTGCAATTCTTATTGCGATCCGATACTATTCAATCTCACTATCCGTTTTATATGGAACTAGTTTCCTGAGGACAGTGCCTTCGATACACAGAGGGATTCGTCTACCTATGTGATGTGAAAGTGTATGAAATTAAATATTTGCTACATTTTGGGGTAACAGTACCAAATAACCATATTGAGATGAAATTTTACACACATACTGACTATAACATGTCTGTATGTAGGATACTACAGACTATTTACATAGTATACTAAATTACTAGTAGAGATAAGAAGCGTATATATTATATACATATAAAAATAATATCTGTTGCTGATAATTTTTATATTTATAATTATTTATCCAGACTAGACCAGACCAAATTTGGACTGTCTGTCCAAAATTGTCTGTCGTATTTTCAGTTTATTGCAATACAATGATCAGAATACTTGTTTTATTTATTACAGTATTCAACTTACGCCCTCTATGTAAATATCGAAGTAACTCTGTCTACTTGCTTTTTGCGGTTATATGAATGAACCATCACTTTTGATTAAATTTAATAGTGTTAAGTAACCACCTGCAGTCCCACCTTACTTATTGAGATTTTTAAGACTCCCTAAAAAAGATATTTGAATGCAAGGAAGCACATAAACCTGTCTAAATTATGGAAGAACTTTTGCATTTCGTGTCTCGTAATTGTTATTTTATACACATATTATAATAGACACGTTTATAAATATGACAATTCTTAAGAACGTATCGTAGTTGTATATTTGACAGCCTCGGTGGTCTAGTGGTTTAGCACTCCGCTTTACCCGATGGTCGTGGGTTCGATTCCTCGCACGGTACAAACATTTGTATTCATGAGTATGATTGTTTGTATCGGTCTGGGTGTTTTCTATGTATAATATGTATTTATTTAAAAAAAAATTGTATCCATGTATTTATATTAGTTGTCTAGTACCCATAACACAAGCTCTGCTTAGCTTGGGACTAGATGGCGCTGTGTGAATTGTAATTTGAGATATTATTATTATAATTCTAGATAGATAAGTGACCTTAGTATTTGTATAAATAATAACGTATATAAATATATACAATGGATATATGACTAATAATTTATATGAATAATGAAATATATTTAATGTTTAAGAAAGACTACCATCAATGTTTTATGAAATGTGTATTTTGCACACGATTCTAGATGAATTCACCACAGTTGGCAATTTATGCTTAAGGCGAATCAAGAGTGCACCGGAATGCGCCAAGCTGCCATCGCTGACCGCATGTAAAATGCATCAAAATAAATGTCCTCTCTACATGCAAACGCAAATAAATTTAATAGCTTATACAGAAAGCATAGAGGTACTTTCTGGCGAAATATGGAGAGACGGAAGTTCAGTAATGGACGCTGAATAACTCCTATGATGACAGTGAACTGTGCAGACAATAAAATTGAGTTTATTCTGAATAACATATATTAACTCCTCTTGAGAATGCAATAGACTGACTTTTTTCAGAATTACAATTTCTTTTATATAAAAATAAAACAAATTGTAATTCTGCAAAAAGTGCTTTTTATATGCTTATTTTTTTCATTAACGACTAGATAGCAAGTCGTTGAGTCTACTAGAACAGCAACTAAACAAATGAAGCTCGATGGCTATTGCACATAAAAATAAAGACAAGATAATAAATAGATGTGGCGGCGCGGGTGAAATAAATATTGTTTGATTTTGATTTAAGTGGACTGTATCTAAATAATCTGACGGGTACGTGGATTGACACGATACACTGTTAGGTTGGTGATTGAGAACTGCTTGTGAGGATGGAACACAAAGAAAGACAGTTCTGGTAAGGAAGGAGGCACAGTACCTTTGAATTGTAGGTTGCAGTGCGGCGGCTATCGGTGTCTCCAGGTCCCAGCTACTTGTTTCACAACAATGGCACAAACACAATGGTCTTAAACACACTAGAGCGATGCGGTGGATTAAAATATATATATATATTTAACAGTGACGCGCGAGCGCGATATGTCACTTTCGATATATTAAAACAAAATGTGCGGGAATAGGAGAGGATATATATATATTAACGTTTCGTACCACGCTAAATTATTTATTTGAACAAACTATTACTAATAATAATTATACAATGATAAACAAAAATGTAATGTTATATGGCGCAACCAAGATGGGTCTCTCATTTTAATAGTGTTGACTATTGCTATAGGTTTGACGTATTATAACAATTATATTTAACAAATTAATATATATATATATATTACCTATATTATAATCAATCATCCTTTTACGTATATTTAAATGAAACACATTATTTTTTCATTTATCTTGAATCCATTATTTCTCTTATTGCACCTCTAATCATCATTTCTTTTTAGTTTTTATTTTATTCTGGAACCATTCGCTTGATAATTGAGTAACGTCTTCGTCTCTAATTATAGCCTGTCAAATTAGTCAGTATCTGTACTTAAATACCTAGTATTACTTGCAGGTTTCATATTACATGCGCGTTCCTTATTTTGTTTACTCGTTATCCGCCCGCGTAATTTGACGCGGGCGTCTAGATATTATTTATTGTTGAGGTTTCTTGAATAAGTTCATGCAATTGAACTCATATAAAACAAAGGACATAAAATTGGATTAATTTGTACTCCCCTTAAGAGATAACATTTTATGTGGCCCTAACCTTATCACAGGTAAGCACAAGATTTATTGCGCGTTCGCTATGTGTCAGAGTTCATGTATCCAAATGCCGAGCGCAATGTTTTCGGAATGTTAAGCCCAGTGATACTTTATGGTAGGTGGTAAATGATGCTTTTATTTTATTTACAACTACTATATTAGTAGCTAATATATGCTTAACTGAAAATAAATCGTTTACATGTTTTTTTTACTATAAATTTACAAATGTTTTAAGTTATATTTAATTAATTTTCTGAGCCCGCGAATTCATAGCCATGGTATTCGGAATAATCTAAAACTTTGTTATTTGTAAACTGATTGGAAGAAAAGAAAAGTAAAATTTAAAATGAAACTTACCATAATATGTTATCGAAAACTTTACCTAGATCGATTAAACCACTTCTAAGATTAATGCGCACAAATGCTAAGACAAACAGACACTGAAACGGACACAGACACAAGGAATAAATTAGTAAGATTACGCACAAAGTCACATTTTCTATCAGGAAATGTAAACACAAATCAAAATACATTATTACATACATAGTGAAATACATGATATTGCATTTAGTGTTATGATTAACAGACTTCATTCATTGGTATTATATTACACTACAATGCTTTGTAGTCAAACAATACTTCTTAATACTCGTAAATAGCGGCTATTATTTTCCGCATTGAATAATTAGATACTGAAATAGGTTCGGTCACGACACGTTGCGTTGCGATCGCCCGGACCGAACATCTATAAATCACTATTCTGTACCTGTATTATCTATTATATCATCGGTTCTATAATCGACATAATTCGTTACAAACAGTTTAATTGGTCACGTTTTATAAACCTCACAAAGTCCAATTATTTTTCTTCAGAAACTTTTTACACAGTCCATTCAGTTTTATAAATACGGTTGGAAAGATTGTCTCTCTGTCTCTCTGTTTGTTTGTTACTCTCTCACTAAATGTTAACAAATCTTATTGAAATTTAACAATAAGGTTAATTCAGATTTACTCAAAACATCCAAGTTTGTGCAGACGAAGTCTCGTATGACGGCTAGTATTATAAAGCTTAAAGTTTGTATGTTTGTCTGTTTATTGCCTTCTCACTACTTAATGGCTAACGACGACAAATTTTAATGAAATTTGGCGTGAATGTATCTTATTCACGAGGTAGAACATACGCGATGTCTTATCACAAAAAAGTCGTGAATTTGCAGGTAATAGCTATTACAATATAAAATAATAAAGAAAACAGTAAAAAATACGGTCTGTTAGAAATGACAAATGCAAATAAAGTGGCCGAATATTAAGTGATAACCGTCATTTAAGATTATGTTTTTAATGTTAGATATTGCTAAAATCTAAAAGAACGTTATGCTTCTTATATCTTAAATGAATTTATTCTGCTCTATAATACAGAATGCATTAGTAATGAAAATGTTGATAAGCAATTTAAAATGTTACGCGCTATGTTTATGTAATATCAAAAGTCCCGTTAATGACTTAATTTGGTCAATATTAATGTCAAGTATGTGTAGTAAGTACTTACTGCAAATACTGTGACTTGACTATTCAAGTATTATACTATTATAATCACACGTTTATTATTTTTATATCCAATTTTAATTTAGAATGTCTAGATTTCTGTTATACATGTACTAGGTACTTAACAACAATTGAAATATTAATATAATAATAATAATAATCTCAGGACAATTCACACAGCGCCATCTAGACCCAAGTTAAGCTAGCTAAAGCTTGTGTTATGGGTACTAGATAACTGATACAAATACATAGATATTTTTTTTCCTAATACATACATAATATACATAGAAAACACCCAGACCGACACAAACAATCATACTCATGAATACAATGTTTGTGTCGTGCGAGGAATCGAACCCGTGACCATCGGACGTAAAGCGGTGTGCTAGACCGCTAGACCACTGAGGTCGTCATAATATCCTATAAAATGGACTGACCATATTAAACTTACCAACAATAAAGTCAGATATCACACTCTTTAATTAGACTGCACTAACAAAAATGCAAATTTGAAAAATTGCACTTTGACGTAAACCGTATTGAAGTCTAATTCAGTAATAAACGTAATCAAATCTGGAATAATCTCAGTAAGAATACTAATAAATATGTTTTTAAATATTTAGCTAACAAATAATTTTGTGATTCTTATATTTAGGAATGTAGGTATATCTGAATATGTTTACTTAGTTATTTGTTTTTGTTCCAGCGGAGGGGAGCCTGTCCGACTTTGCGGTACGCAAAGTCCACTACACGGCGAGCAATCCCCTCAAAAAGGGCTTGTTCACGCCCGCCACAAGGTAAATTCCTACACTAATCAAATTAGCAGAAGGAAGGAATGTTTTACACACACATATACACAGAAGACTGAGATAGGAGGAACATAAAAGTATTAATATAAAATGTAAACAGCACTTTAAATTTCAATGTATCTACTATATCCAATATCTACCGTTAAGATATACTTACAAATTTATATTCTATTAATTTACCAAATAAATACAATAGATATAGTAATTATACAATATAATTATATAACTTAAAATCGGGTAATTTAAGTTTTTTAGAACTTAACATGTTTAACAGTAGAAAACTGCTTCACGTATCACTTTTTGTTGATTTATTCATTGCAACTCCGCTCCTATTAGGCCTAGCGTAATGTTATATAGCCTTCCTCGATTAATGAACTAGCCAACACTAAAAGAATTTTCAAAATCTTTATAGTAGAACCAGATATTCTATATATATCCCTGCAACCTCACAAATTTTACCTTTTTATAATATTGGTAGGTATAGAATTTTGGGGTGAAAGGGGATTGTTATGTGGACTATTTAGAGACAAAGAATTACTTTTGAGTAATTTGAGCCTTAATTTACAAAATCGGATGAATCATACAAAAATAAGAATAGTGCCGAAAATATATATATTTTTAAACACGTTTCATTTTTTTTATTCATTTTTATTTTAGGCCAGCAAGTTTGCGTCATCTGTATGAGAAAGCAACCACAGACAGACTATCCGTCTCCATTCTCGATCAACTCAGGCGGGATACCCAATACTCACCATATCTGCTATGCACGCCGGTGCTTAGTTCCAAGCGGCGTCGTATTTATCACAAGGTTGACGTTGATATTGAAACTCACATTGTAAGTATTATAGTGTAAGCATATATTATAATGGATCTCGTCGTAATTTTGAAATAATCTCTTGATGTTATTTATAATCCCATCAAAAGACAGAATGTAAAAAATGCGTATCCAGTCTTAATATTTTATATATACCTTGACTTTATGTTGAGTTTCAGAAGAATGATGAGATAAGACAGTGAAATTGCTGTTTAAACTTATCAATGGTCTGGAATGGCAACGCACATAACGTTACGTCGTAATGCCAGCCTTGTATACATACATATATAAAATATAATTCTTCTGTTATTTTTTTTGCCATTTGCGTATAATAAATTGCTAATTAAATAAACAAAATATTTCGGCACTTCGGATCTGAAACAATGTATTCAAAATCTCAAACAAATCAAATTTTTTCTATTATATTTGTTTACATCGTGCATATTTTCTTTTCAATCAAGAATTGAGTATAAAAATCCTCATGCCATATATATTACAGATACAGATATTATTATTTATCATCTAAAACTCAAATATGGTACTTTCAGCCAACGGTAGTAGAACATCTAAGGAAATGGACATCAAAAGAAGCAATTGGGGACGTGACAGCTTTACCAGATGCCTCCATGAGGATAGCCAACAGTGTAACGTTGACACCAGATGAGTTATCCGAGTGCGGTTCTGGAGATGATGAACCAATAGACCACAGGCTACCCAGCCCTGATGAGCAGCTGAGAATCATTGCCTCCAAGTAAGTCACTTGAAATATATAACCGTATTATAATAAGTGGTGGTTCAATTATGATGCAGTAAGGAGAAAAGATTTTTAGTAATAGTGGTTTTTGAAGATAGAATGGTACACTCCCGTTTAGTAAAGGTTTACCATTGCTAGGTTGAGCGTGAAGTTAGCCCATCATTGCAAATTACGACGAATTAACACAATGGTTTCAAATGGTTTCATCGGTGACCACATATCATATGCTAAGATCGACAATGACGTGAAATTGCAGGTAACCATTTATCTAGGATCATAATCGTTAGATATCACCAGATAGAGTGCTAAATTTTTGAGTAAGGAGGAAATATTTTTAGATAAGTAACTTAATGATGCTATGTATTATCATTATTTTGTCATCATATTACATGACCGTAATAAAGAAAGTCCGGCGACGGCACGTGACGGCTTACAAGGCCTTATATACATAGATTACTCTCAATAAACATCAAGGAACAGCTGTAAGGAATGTCGCCTAAAATACTTACGGTTGGTTAAATAAGAATATTTGTATAGCATAATATAAGGTAAAAAAATATCAATTATATTACGACTACTATTACAAAATGTAGCTATGTTCTAAAATTACATTCCATTGTACGTACGGTAAATCCAATATAATAGTTATTGGATTATACGCTTCCAATATAATATAATACTTTATTTGTTATATACAGTAAAGAAAAGACATAAATAATTTATTTACAATGAGGCAATAATTAATTAATTGCTGATGACAATATTTTCAACAGAAGAGGTAGATAATATGCTAAAAGGAGAAAAGAAGTTAATATCTAACATAGTAATGAAGGAAAAGAATATTATCTAATTATATTTAAACTGTATAGACTTACATGAACTACATATAAAACTACTTGCATCAATATTAAAGTAAATATAAATTAAATGTTTGACTATAAGAAAGAAATTCAAATATTGAGAAGTCTTTTACTAACATATAATATCGAATGACGCAAAAAGTGTGAAATCAAAAAACAATAGGTATATGTACATAATTTAGTTTTTTATTAATTATCTTTCGCTGTTCATACTTTTCAAAATTTTTTAACCTCCCGATGTCTATCTATTTGTATGGTAACTCCTGAACGAAATGATTTTAATTCTGTTTTTTTTTTGGAAGGTAGCGTTATTGAGATGATTATTAGCTACTAGCAATTTATATTTACAATTAATTATACAAAAATTTTAAGCAAACCCTACAGGGTTTGTTTAAAATTTTTATCTTTGTATATTTACAAAGATAAAAATTTTATTATGCAATGTATGTTAATATTAAGCAACATAATGCCGCTATTGATTTTATTTTAGAAATTTACTTATTATAAATATGTATGTATTACAGATTTCCTCCAGAAGTTGTTGCGATCGACACATCGGGTAAATTTTTCGACAGAATGTGTACTTCGCGTAAATCACTTCACATAGAGGTCACTGGAGAGACGGACACCGTGAAACGAAGAACCCGCACTAGAAAACCTCGGGGTAAAAGACGAAACACCATTTCGGGCACTGATCAGAAAGAGCTTAGAGAGGCTATAGCTGGGTAAGCTTCTAGTTTGCACTGTACACTCACACATTCAGATTACATTATCTATCTCTAATAATCTAATGTCCTATAGTTTTGACTATAGTCAATAATGTTGTATTTCATTCATATGTAAATAGATAATGTAATCTCCAAAGCGATTTAATCAATGTTCAGCACTGTTCTGTGTGGACAGCTTTAAGAATTCCATTAAAATCTCTAGCACATCTCTTAACAACTTATTGATAATATCTTGTGCTTCTGTGAATACATTATTTTAACATTGACTGTCGTTGTCATTTGGTTATTAAAAATCAACAAAAACCAATTATTTGTGCACTTAAACACTAATAGTGCCACTTGTTCATTAGCTTCATGATTAATTAATTCTTTGGACAAATCCACTGTTACAAGACTAAGCGGAATTGTTTAAAGTTCTTTTAAACATAGAAATGCCTTTAGCGTGTGACTAATGCTTTGCTTGGTTTGTTCTATCTTAGCGATACATCAAATGCTGCGGCTACTGAAGAGATCGAGGATAGCACTGTTATCAGATCGAAGTCCAGTGATTTACTCAAGAAGAGCCCGATAGATCCAGTTACTAAAAAAGGACATTTCAATTCTCTAAAGCAGTGGGGTAAAAATAGATTAAAAATGATAGGTAGATCACCGAGTGCTAGTAGAGATAGTTTTAAGGATAATTTTAAAATTGAAAAAAGCAAGGAATCTAAATCTCCAACAAGACAAGAAGAAAGTGAAAAACATGAAACTGTTACTTTGCGTAAAAAGCGACCTGGAGATGAGGATCGAAGAACGCATCAAAGATGTGCCTCATATTCGTCATCTGAAAAGAGTATTGGTATCCCAGCTAGTGTACCGACAACAGCTACAATTAATAGCAATGTTAAATTGCGAGGGACATCTGTACAAAGAAGGCTAAAGCGATCAGGAATTGGCAAAGAAGAACCTCACTCTTCGAGTGGCAACTGGTCAGCTAGTTCAGAATCAGGCAGAACAAGTATAGGTTCTGAAATAACTACAACAACAGTGCCTCCAAAAAGCACAACTTCAGCAGCAACTTCAATAAATTCTTTGAACTTACATCATGGTCCCCCTAGCTCTATCATAAGCCGCCGACGATTTATGAACACATCTGGCTCAGGAAGTGTTACCAGTGAAGGCACGCTCACTCCAGATATCATTCACGACTTGCATGAAGATTTAGAAACAAGTTCAGAGTTCTCGTGTGATACAGAAGGATATTATACCTCGTTTCATATGGATTCTGGTTTAAAAACATTAAAAGAAGAAGAAGTATGTCCTAGTACCCCGATGCATACTAGCAATGCACTCTCTAATTCATCTAACAGTCATACATTAACAGCAGAAAATGAATATGAATTATTTGGAAAGGGTTCCACAAGTACAACTACAAGCTCTGCAGGTACTGTTTGCACTGCATTAATGGCAGCTGGAAGTGATCGCTCCCTTGTAATCGGTCCAACGGTGCCAGAACGTAAAAGTTCGCTATCAAAAATGATCCGAAGTAGAAGTAATAATATTCACAGTGCCAATGCTAGTTTAGATAGAAGTATGAATTCAACGTTTTCTAAATCACATTTCAACAGTTTGAAATATACGTCTGTTCAGTCATATCCAGATACAAAACTACACAATTACTCATCACCTGAAATCAATGAAGTGTCTAATCCAACTATTACTATAACTAGAAATGTTGGCAACCATAGAGAGATAACTGCAGTTGCAGAAGTTCATACAGAAACAGAATTAGAAAGTGCCAAAAAAAGTACAGGTACAAGTTCTCCGGACTCTGGTCATAATACTTCTAGTTCACCTATAGAAGATTCCGTTTCAAGCGCACATGGAAAAAATAGTCTTTCAGAACAAGATTACTCTGAATCATCAGATTTAGAAGGAACTGATAGAATAGAAAGGATACGATACAAAACTACAATTAATAGCTCGAGAATTCCATCACTCTGTGTAATAACACCTACAAATTCAGATGATGAAAGCGAAGGTAGCAGCAAAGATACAGAAACAAACAAAAAACAAGAAAATAACGAGTTAAACTCTACTTTTAAACGAATTTCTAGTAGACCTAAATTAGACTTGCCTTATGAAGAAAAATCTAAGGAAACAAAAAGCTCAAGTGAAGCAACAAAAACAAATAAAGTTCATACACAAATTAACCTAAAATCGTCATTACAACCATTAAATAATTTAATGTGTAAATTGAAAGGTGTTCTTCCTCATAAACTATCTAATAAAAAATCCCCCACTGCAAAAGAACCAAGTGTCAATGAGAATATTTATGACGCCGGTGACTATGTTACCATAGCAGATGTCAAAAATAATAATCAAAAAATGAGCCTTAATAGAAGTACATACGGTACTAACGACACTGTTAGGAAAAATTTACAAGCAGTCCTATCAGGACGACCGGAGACTGAATATGTGTCTCTAAACGAACTGCCAAATTACTTAAGTAGCAGTAAAGATTACCTGGAAAATACTTTAGAAGAAAGACCATCTCCAGTGATGGAAGAGATACAAAGAAAGGGTGCCAAAGTAACGTTGGATTCTCAAGGGCAAGTAATTTATTCATCAGATACGTTAAAAAGACGTAAAGGAGCACATACAACATTTGAACCAGGACCATTTGTTCAAGAGCTTTGTCCAACTACAACGACAATTCAACGGGAAACTGCTGATGTAGTAAATGTTACTGACGAGACTGACTTTCCTTATGAACCTCCACTGCCTTCTAGCAAACCTACATCGCCACAGCTAGGAAAAATGATAATTAAAGCACCTATAAATCCCAATGGTCCTATGACTACAGAATTTATTCCGTTGCCACCCCCTAAACCTAGTACAATCATAACAGCGACACCACTTACCGAAACTACAGCTAGGATAGACCAGCCATGTGGTAAAAATGAACGTGATTTACCACGAATTGTAGAAGCTATAACCAGAACGGGAGCATATGTAAATATTCACGATGCAGAGGGTGTCAGCTTGTCACCGACGAAAGACGATTTAGCAGGTAAGAACCTAATACCCTCAAAAATTATCACAAGAAGTCTTTTAATTCGATCACATAATATGGACCAATCTCTCGAAACAAATTCAGACATAACTCCATTTGTACCAAATTTTCAGACGCCTATCATGTTACAAAATAGATGTCAACATACCACGTCCTTTAACAAATCGGGTAATAAAGTTGCTGAAGTTTTAAAAATGTTCACAAATAAAATATATAAAGAAACTAATGATGAAATTAAAAATGATCAGGACTGTCACAATGACTCAGTTCATAAATCTCTTAATAATAAAGTAAAGCGTAGCGATAGTTACAAATTAGCAAATTCACCATTAATGCCAATAAAGAAGTTACTTAAACTTGAGACTTTTAGTAGTAATGCTAAAAAAGTTAATTCTTTAGAAATGATCCAGGCAGAGATTACAGCTGATTTATTACGAGAACAAATAAATTATCCTCCCACAGTTTCTCCTAAGTTAAATCACAAAAATCTTATCAAACCGGTAGAGAAATGCGAATGTATGAACAATAATGATTCTCTTATGAGCGAAAAATTCGAGGCAGAATTATCTGCCTTAACGTTAAGTCCTTTTGTTACACCATTGCAAACCAGACGTTCTGTTACCTTTATTCCACGCAGAACAGACACGTCTCGTGATATGTTGACGGCTATTTTAGATTCTGATCCTGACGATGATATCACTTTTGAATCGCCACCTTCTTGTCCTTTTACTCCTAGTAAGGTCATTATACCCTTCGATGGTTCTATGCATAAAGCACGAATATTATCAATTTCCGAGTCTGATTACGGTACTGAAATATGGTAATATAATAGATTCTAATTACAATTTCAAATCAATTACATTACTTGATTATAAACAAATGTAATGTTACATCTGTACCCAGTATAAATTACTTATAAAGCTAATCCTTATTTTAATTTGTATGTTCTGTTTAGATTTGAAAGGGATTTTAATCCGTCCAATAACAAAAAGTACCTAACTTCGTCTTCCTTTATACGCTTCTGTGATAAATACTTTTGTTTTAATTAAAATAGCATTTTTAATGACATCTAAAATAAAAATATTAGATTGTGATTCTATTACTATTTTATTTAGTATTTTATATGAATTATATTTTTTAAGTAATTATAAATGTTTCATTGTTTGTAAGACTACGAATGCATGGTGGCTTTCTCACCGCAGCTGTATGCACAGCTTACGAGTGGTTCACATTCTTCGTTTGTAAGTGCATGGTGTGTTATTCGTTTGTTTACGTGTTTTGTAAATAATATTACCTATTACACTATTATTGTAAATTAACGCACTTTTCATTTAATTTCACTCCTTCAGTTCTCATCCTCACTTCACTCATTATGCACATTGCACTTGGCGCCAAATCTTTAGAAAAAAAGTTCTGTTCTTCGACATAGTATCGTATTAGCATTTTCATCATTTTTAATAGTACAATATAAGTCTAGAACAGAATTTATTTTCTTACAGCAAATAAAACAAACAACGTTTCACAAAAAGAAAATTGTAAATAAATCTCACATTTTACATAGGAGGAATATAATCTGCAAATTAAACTAATAAAATTTTAATACGACTAATTTTTTTAATAATTATTATATAATAGGTACCTACTGTTCAAATAAAACCTAATGAGGTATGAAGTAATTATGTTCTAAAGTCAATGGTGTAAAGTTCTGTTTATTGCACAAATCTTACTTGGCTTTGCACAGTGCAGGAGATCGCTTCGATATGTCGCGACTTCGTCTTTGATAATGTCAAGTTCTTCAAAGGTAAAGTTTTGTGTTGCTTTTTAAGCATGATACGAGGTTGCGGTTATGTAGAGGATTTAATAATTGGTATATCGACTTTTTAAACTGATGATTTACGTCGATCTGTAATGATACCTATTTATAAGTAATTTACAAACTGATTTTCATTTTGAAAATGCATTGCATGGGGTCTAGAATTGAATTGTGACTAACAAACTATATACCTAATTAATATATTTAAGTAGGTAATTACAATAATTATATTATTTAAGTTTGCATACGGTTTTATATACAAATACTAACTAATAGGATACCAAACTAACAATTAAATATACTCCGATTATAAATTAATTATCAAATTTTAAAGAGAATAAAATGCCATGCACTTCCGTTATACCTAATGCACTTGTAGTTGCACACTGCTATTATATGCGTATTATGTTTAGGTATTTTAAGTACATTAGAATTCATAGCTTATTCGAGTCAAGTAAGTAATATGTTTTTGCTTTTGTGATGAATTTCTTTTTTTCGTACCCATATAGTCTCTGTTATAATGTATGCCAATAATATAATTTAGGTACATACACAATTATTATAGTTTGATATATCTTATAATATATATTATATAATTTTGGGATTGGTGCCATATTTGTATGAATTTTCGTAAGGTAGGTATAATTGGTAGTTTTATAATTTTACAAGAGTACGTTTTAATGTTCTTTTATAAACATCTCGGAATATGACTTTATTTGTAATTATACTTACCTTACAAAATTTTATATATTTAGTATGTACAATATATAATTGATAAAATTATTTACAATGTGATACGCATTGTAAATTATACTCCTCAATTATAAAGTTTCTTAAATGATAAACGAACTTATAAAGATAAGTAATACCATCAAAAAATATACGTATCCACGTTTTAAAATTTTGTATTACAGCCCGACATCATTATCCAATGTAAACGATACTTGCTCATATTTGTATAAATAAAATATAGTGTACGGGTAGTAAATGAAGTAAACATATTTTTTATAATTATTTTTAAAAATAGTTGTTTAATAGAAAATTCACATTATATTTTCAGACTATCGACATTCCTGTGCTGACAAGCCCTACAAACAGCAAAATATATCTCAAGACAAAGTTCCTGCAATCAACCTGACTGCACTCATCCCAAACCAACACCGATATAATACGGCTCATTTACGTGGAAGGCACGGTGTCGTCAATTATGATAACAATCAACCGAATCCGGCTAAACACCAACCAAAATTCTGGACACTTCCTAATAGAAGTCTCTTAGAATTAAATGCTCCGCAACCAAGGACACCAGAACAGAGAAAATCAGTATTTAATAATCCTATAAAGCCTGATAATAGAACTGTACCGCTGGAACAGATCGGGATATCGCATGCCCTCAGCGGGAACAATGATTCTATCAGAATTTCACCTATCGATCCTCGAACATCAGGCCCTTTTAAATCTTCCACACCATCCAATAAGGAAAATGTAATCGACCTCGGTGCCAAATTACTATCTCCAGTTAAATCTACGATGACAAATGAAGAACTTTATGCTGTCATACACAAAAGCAAGAAGAAACTTAATATAAAAGATTCTGTGGAAAGATCCGAATCACCAGCTTTATCTACAGTAAGTTTATCACCGGTAAATTCAGAAACATCTTTGTATAGTAAAGGAACTCAACGTCATCCAGAGACAGGCTATTTGGGAGATCCGCGAACTAGAATGAGTTGGTCACCATCTGACAAGCTACCACTATATTCAGGTTCTGGTATTCAAAAACAGGAAACAACATCATGCGCCGACAGATTTGGTCCAGTACAACAAACATCAAGGCTTGATTTTAAAAAATTACTTTTACAACACAGTGTGAAACTAAATACTATGCATCCTCAGAACAAGACAAACAAATTGTCAGCAGTTGAACAACTCAAACTATCAAAAGAAAAAGCTCAAATACCATTAACTCCAAATACAAACAGAACTCACATTAATATACTTGATTTAAGTGGTTCACCAAAAACTTACACTCACAGGAAAATCATAAAACCTAACCCCCAACCTGCATCACCTGGTAGAACAGGTGCATTAATTAAAGAACATAAAAATACGCCCAAAATTTTGCTTTCTCCTAAATCACAATGGCGATTTGCAAGCCCCCGTTCTGACGTATTATCTTCACCAATACCTGAAGCAAATAATGAAGACGAAAATTCGAATAGCTCTGGTGAGAGACATGATATATCTCCAAATAACCCACCGTGTAAAACAGTTCCTATTGTTACGAATCAACACTTCGGAGCGCGGCGAAATCTTATACCAATTAATGAAAACAACTTTGAATCCGAAAACGATTTGTCAGAATCTATTGATCATGGAATTTTTCCACTTAACACTGATTTTGCAAAATCTCACAGTTTATCGAGATCTGAAATAATGCAAGCAAAGCGTGCCGAGTTCTTTAACACGTCTCCTGAATCGTCACCTCCGAAATTTACATCGTTTAAGATCGCGACGGCTGGTCCGTCTACTCGAAGTAAGTCCTCTCCGGAAAGAGGCAAGATTTCACCAACGACATTGGAAACAGCATTATGATAATTTGTAAATTATCCTGCATTAAAGCGGTGCTCATTTTCCTTTTGTGTGTAAATAATGCGACGACGTTAAAAGAAGCTTTAATCTAGTCTCTTCTAGCTTGAAGTGCCGTTTTTGAGGGCACATATGCATTTTAATAGCTGCCAGTGTTATACTACTTAAATTACTGAGATTAAGGACATTCAGCTCAAATATTCATTTAAGCTCTGATGGGGCCAATTTTTATTTTATGTAGTACTGTACAACTGTTTGAATATAGTGAATAAGTATTTATTGAGTATGTACTATGTAAGTAGTGTTTTGAACTTTTTCAAAGTTTTTAAGTTATTCGGAATACAATTTTAATTAAATGTGTTAAATAATATTCCATTTTTTATTTTACCTTTACCTGCCCGATGATTATGAAATACTTAGCGTGCAAACCCTAGCGCAGCAGTGGCTATGATAGACTTGTTATGTTTATTAATGTCACCACATCTAGTCAGTTGGCTATATTACATAATGTATAAAGCAAGAGCCGCCCACTTAGCAAATTACATTATTTTAAAGAACAATTCACATTAGCGGAGATTATATTGTGGGTACTATGACATAAATACCTAACATACATTTTTTTTAATTCAAAGACCCGAGACCGATACAATCATTCGCACGAATAAAAATATTTTCATCTTGCGAGGAATCGAACACGCGACCATCGATTGGACAAAATTAGCATTCTGTACTCCTGTATAAAGTATAAATGAGCGAAATTACATACCCTTCCGTGCGTAGAAACGGGCATAAAGTTTTTGTTTAACGTATTAATGTATATACTCATAGATATTAAATGAAGTTTTTTTTCTTTTATCCTTACTTAATTCCGTCATGTCATAAATCTAGAATGTTTAGGGAACATTATTAGTCATACCATATAGATATTACTTACATAGTAATACAGAATAGTGATGTTAGTAATGGAAATACTAACCAGACTACTAGCAATGTACCATGTGTTTTTATGGATGGAATGGTGTAGGTACTGCCTACATTAGTGATTTACACCGGGCGGAGACACAAGTGGAGGATGAGATGAGCATGATGTCAGTTAGCTCATCTTAGCGAATTGCTAGCTATTGGATTGTTAGTCCACATTACTAACAATCCTCTTTCCCTCCAATGTACTTCAATATACCATGTTGTCAACCTCCACCAGGTCCCTTCTAGAAGCCATCATGATTCCGGTGAAGTTGTAGACTAGATACAGTCAACAGCATTACAACAGATCGAAAACAAACAGTGAAATATCCATGATAGGCTGTCCTGACATGAAGATTATCTTTTTATCTATCTATCTATCACTGGTGGAGCACCAGTGGTAACCGTTAGCGCCGACGAGTGCACCGATCCATTGTCACCAGCGTAAATTATATAATACCTAAATATCTATTCAGTCCTATAATACTTTAAAAACTTTTTGAAGTCAGAATGTCAAACAGATTTCTACTGGCACTTCTTACGTGAATGTTACCAAATGACATCTGCATATATAAATATTGATATGACCAATTGATACCCGTATTATTTATATTTACAGCACGGAATGCGTAGCAAACGTAATGATTAAAATTTACTATTTAACATTGAAGCTGAATCATGAAGTGTAATTCGAACGATAGCAGAGATACTTCAATGAGCACCTCAAGTTGCTCCGTCAAACTTAAAATCATGGCTTTGGTCGTAAACACTGCCGATATAATCAACGAAAGGACGACACCAACCCTCGGAATTTCTCACGCCATTATATCACCTGTGGCTTTATTTACGAGCTTCTTGTTCCTTGGTATCATATTAATTGGCAATCTGAGACATCAGCGAACTTCTTGTTTCCTTGAATCATACGCATTAATAGTATGTTCTGTACTGCACTCATCTCTGTCAATATCTGTATTCAGGGAACTTAAGAGCGTATCTGTCACTACAGGACATGCTGCTCTCGTTTTAAATGGTGTGCTTCCAATGATTATGATACTATTAATGCTTGCTGATCTCGTCATGATAATGTTCTCAAGTCGTGATGATATAGCACCAGCGCTACCTGCAACATCGAGACCAGCATCCCATTTGGAAATACCTGCATCTTAAATTGTATAGACAGATTTATGTTAGTGTGATACAGTAATGTATATCAACACTTATATAGTTACTTCATCATAGTGGGAATCTGTAATTATGTGTAAAAAATTGTTTTCTACAAATTATAAAATATATTTATTTACAAAAAAATTAATCAATTATCAATCAATCAATGTTAAAAAAATGCTTTCTTATATTCTATGTTTTGGTTACATCATCATTGGGTCCAGGACTCGGCTGTGAGTCCTGTATGGCCACTTCATCTTCTATGTTTTATTGTTATTATTTTAGTGAATGACAATATCATTATGTATCTGCCTGCCTGAACTAAAAATTTAGGCAGAGGCACCAGTAAAAGATGACAGGAAAAGGATAAAGTTAGGTTCAGTTGTTTCCCATAGGAAACTGTATGGAGGTTGACATAAAGGGTACAATTGTAAGCAATTGACCCACTATAAATGCTACAATATCAATTATAAAACCAATCTACCATAATATTACTAAATGAATCTTGTTGCCCCAATAAATAAAATTATTATTAAAAAGTATTGTGCGAGGAACACAAATTAGAAAAGGTAACATTAATAAGGAAATTCAGAGAAAAAGAAATAAAAAATACTTAGATTAAAATTTATTGTAGGTCTTATATACATGTCACATTACAAAAACATACTGAACATAGTAAATAATAATCTAATTATCATGAGTAGTAAATATAAATTATTTTAACTGAACAAAACACTACTTTGATATCTGCAAACAGCCTTAACTTTAGCTTGTTCACATGTAAGGGCTGTGTGTAATATTAATATAATTAGTCTTTCTGACAGGGCTTATGACTACCACATGTAGGATGACTGTTGTGAATATATATATTGTTATTTATTTCTATGCTGATAGGATGAACTTGATAGTCTAAGTTATATGTACTTCTATTTTTTATATCAAATACTTCCTATGCTTCAGGACTTGTCACACATGCCTATAACTTGAGTTATATAGCTGTATAATGTACAACATATATAAAACACACCTCATTAGAAAACTCACTTATTTCATATTGAAGAATAAGTGTTGAGGAAACAAGATTGAGATATTGCTCCACTAAACTTATTTTTATATCATTGTTTTTAATGATTTTAAATAATACATAAAATAAAGATAGCTACTTTATGAGTAATGTGACAATTTATATGCAAAAATACATGACATTATTTAGAAACTTAATATTAAATTTACTATCACTATTTGTTCATAGGAGGTCCATTCATTAATGGTGGTCGCATTTGTCCCATTGGACCCATAGGGCCCATTGGTCCCATTAGAGGTCCCATCATAGGGGGTCTCATCCCCATCATAGGTGGCATTGGTCCATGAGGACCCATCATCATAGGTGGCGCCATTGGTCCTCCTGGTCCCATCGTTGGAGGAGGCAACATACCCGGAGGTCCACCTGGGGTCGGTACCGGTGGTCTGGGGCCGCCAGGCCCCATCACTGATGGATCCCAAGGTGGAGGTATAGTAGCTCCTTTATTACCAAATGGATTCTGAGCAATTTTTCCAGCTTTGAACGCGGCTGTAGTAGCATCAATGAGATGCTGAGCTTGTTCCTCCATCCATTTTTGATAGTAAAACTTCACATTGTCTTTATGTTTTCTTCCTGTGCAGTGAGTTTTTCTCACGCTTGGTGAATCGTGAGTTAAATATGTATCACAATAATCACAGTAATATTTGGGCATAATTGTAGGTTATGAGTAAGTTTTATTTTGCAACCAAACAATATGTATTAATAATTGCTCACAAATTACGTACTAAAATTATTGACTTACGCAAAGAATTCATAAATTTATATATTGTTTGAATTTGATATATTAGAATAAAATTTATTTCAGACACAATAATGCTATTTATTTTTTCCTAGTCAGACAAAATTGAAAGCACAAACGTTACACATCAAACGACACAGAATAATCTAGATCTTGAATGAAAGAGTACAAAGATCGGAAAAGAGCACCACTTTCTGTACTGTCAGTCAGCGTCAACCATTGCACAGAGCCAAAGACGGTATTCTGAGTTATTGATCTCTGGTTTTGGACCACAGTATGTATGAACCATAGTGTCTCCTATCTACTTATCTGTGGCAACTTCTGACGTCTGTTCTATTTAGTTAGTGGTTGTCTCTGAGTAGCTCATATGGTTTCATGTGGTGTGGCGTGTAATTAAATTTCAATTTATTACTGAGCCATTTAATTATAACTTATATGTATTAAAATTAGTTTAGATTTATGTTTAAAATTTACTTAAGTCTATAATTATTTTTTATATTTGTCAAAATGCCTGATATGAAGTATATATTGGTCACTGGCGGAGTTATAAGCGGCGTTGGGAAAGGCGTGATTGCTAGTTCATTTGGCACGATTTTAAAGAGTTGTGGTATCGATGTGACTTCAATAAAAATTGATCCATATATAAATATTGACGCCGGTACATTCTCGCCATACGAACATGGTAAGATTAAATTTATTATTCATTCATTATTATTCTGTACAATCGACTTGGTTATTTTTCGGGTGGCGTGATGCAGTCTATTTTTATTTTCTAGGTGAAGTTTACGTGTTAGACGACGGAGGCGAAGTCGACCTTGATCTTGGCAACTATGAGCGATTTTTGGACATTACTTTACATAGAGATAATAATATTACAACAGGCAAAATATACCAGCAGGTTATAGAAAGAGAGAGGCGTGGGGATTATCTTGGCAAAACAGTGCAAGGCAAGTATAAATATTATTAAATAATTATTCTAAAATTTACAAGAGGTCAGGTCATGAATTTTACTCTTTTTTAAAGTTCCGTACCTGAAGACAAATAAATGAACTTTTAAAACATTATCATCATTGCAGACAAAGTGGCCTACACATCGTTTTAATTTAGAATTCCCTCTCATAAAGGACTAACTAACTAACTCATAGTAAAATATGTGATTTATTTAGTAACATAGAATTTCACTATATATACTGTACTTGTCTGTAATCATATAAGTAAACTCTTACAATTTATTAAAAGTTAAATAATAACACCGAATGATAGTTTTATATGTTTTACAAGTTCTGTAATATTCAACCAGTTAATGATACAAAAAGTTCACTAACTTACATTGTGAATAATAAATCAGATAGTGCAAAGTGAAAGTTTACTTTATAGACTTTCTAACTCTAGTCTATTTAAATATTGAATGGTATTAAAATTGTTTCATTTATTCTTTGTATATTTTTTTACTAGAACTAGGTCAATAAAATAGTGATCAACATTTTTCAAAGAACAAGAGGCAAAATAAAACCTCTTTGCAAACCTAGCTTTTTAAGTTAACAACCATAAAGAATAAAAACTGTATTATTAACTTAAGCTTAGAAAAGTTGCCTATATATGATGTAGTCAACCAATACCTGATCTTTTGCTACTTATGAACAGATTATGCAGATATACCTTAATTACAATGTTTTACTCACATTTTGTATAAAAGAAATATTGTCCAAAATTTTAACAGATTTAACTGTTAAATTTATTATTTATACTATTTTTTAATTATTTATTTATTCATTTATTTCAGGCAACTAGGCCCATATTATAAATACCTTATAGACTAACATACATATAATATAATATTTAAAAACTTATACAATAATATTGTCTGTGTGATCACGGCACTGAAGACGGCAATCTGCCACGGTAGCGCCGATACACCACACCTTTCGGCCAGTAGTCCTCTTTCATGAAGGTGGGCAGGAAGTCAGTGGGGACCAGGGCCACAAACGCTTTGAAATTCGCGTTGTGACTCGACTTCAGCTGCTTTACCCTCAATGTCAGGTTACTCTTGGTACGAATATAATCGACAATGTCCTGCTCCTTAGTGGCGTAATGTAGACGGGACAGGTACATTGTCGTGGTCGGTGTAGCAGCATGCAGCAGAAAGTTGGGCCCAGTAAGTGCAGTGCCACAATGATTCCTATTGACCTTGTTTGTGCGCCTCTTCTTTTGTACCACGACGAAGCCATCATCGTCGCGGTTACCAGTGGCAGCACACATAGGGTCAATATTCAGTGCCGTTTTTGGCACACGCCGGTGTACTGAAGCAGTCGGTTTGCTAGCGACGACGGCGGCAAAATCTCGACGCTGTGGTTGCACCGAGGATTTTGTTAGCGCTGCTTCCACATGCAGCAGTATCGGCGCTCGCGAGCTGCGGGCGGGGAGCACGGGGGGCGCGGCGGCCGGCGGTGACACCACATCTGGTGACGTCAGTGTCGACGCCGAAACCGCTGACTCCGCCGTGAACGCATCGCGGCATGCCCCACGGCGCGTGTTGATGTTCCTGACCTAGTTTCTTTTCGCGAGTCGCGCAAACTGTCCACTTCCTTGCGCAACTCACTAATTATGTGCTCTGACGCATTGAAACATAGCGTCACATCTGCCAAACTCTTTTTTAAGGACACGATATCCTTGAGTAAGCTAGTAACATCGACGTGATCAAATGTGACTGGAGGAAGTTTGTTTAAATCCTTCGCCACAAAAGTTGTCACGTCGTCTGGATCGGTCTCCTTCAGCAGCGTTATAATATCCTGTAAGCTTTTTTGTGTCCCGTCACGTCTACACCATCTGATCAGTCTTATTTAGGGACTCGAAGAGCAGAGCCTTCGCTCTCGCGATGTCGTCTTGGCTGAAGTTGGACACACAGATCTGGACTGCACTTACTTCGTCCATTACGTCCAGCTTCTGCTGCAGGAACGCAAGGAGTTCGTTGGCCACAAGTTTGTCACACATGGCTGGAACTTCGACTAGCACTGCTTATGCCGCGCTCAGCAATTACGATATTAAATAAAATAATTATAATACGTGCACATCGGATCGCGCTTACACTGAAACTACTATGTATGTATACTATGTTATAGAGTACAAATCAGCAATTGTATTCAATGTAACTTGCCACGATTTAACTAGAAATTAATTGTATAATTACTTTAAGTATTTACTTTTTTTAAATATTCTTAAATTTGTTCATAAGACTTTTAAAAGTATTTTCTCTTGCAGTTATTCCTCACATAACAGATGCTATACAAGAGTGGGTGCAACGAGTAGCTCATATCCCTGTGACACCAGAAAACACTCCACCACGTGTGTGCATAGTGGAACTTGGTGGCACTATTGGTGATATAGAAGGGATGTCATTTGTTGAAGCATTCAGACAGTTCCAATTTAGGGTTAAGAAAGAAAATTTTTGCTGTGCACATGTATCATTAGTACCAACGGTTAGTAAATATATATGTAAACATTTAAAAAAAAATAATACTACCAATGTAATTGTCTATTACACACAGGGATAATTTACTAGGTACATCACTTATTAAATGTTAATAAATTATTTTCATCAACCACAGATTTAATGTTGTATAAAAATGTTATAAAATTAGGTTTGGAGCTATTTTCTGAATATACTTCTGTAATTTACAAGTTTTATTAATTAAGTAATGATACAATGGCCCAATAATAAAATCTTCCTAAATTTGTAGCCAAAATCTACTGGGGAGGCCAAAACCAAGCCAACACAATCGTCAGTGCGCGAGTTACGAGGCTTAGGCTTGTCGCCGGATTTAATACTATGTCGATCTGAGAAACCTATCAACCACACAGTCAAGGAGAAGATATCTAACTTCTGTCACGTGGGTCCTGAACAGGTAGGTTGTTAATTATATTAGTAGGTATAGTTGTATATTTTTTTATTGTGCATTTAAAAAATTGTCAAAAGTCATGATGAAATGAAAATCTCTTTATTCTAGTTATGGTGATATTTAATTTTTATTACCCTTGCTATCATAGGAGCAATATATACATAATCTGATATTTTAATTGTAATTATGTGTACTTGACATACTATTTATCAATATTAAATGAATACGTTATTCAATATAGAAGTATAATCTAATTTATATATATGTAAGTAAATAAATTGTAATTCAATTTTGAAAAATAATAAATTTTTCATTCAGGACTCAATCAATCAGTGACCACTATTTGTTATCCAGTTTTGGACATGCATTATTACAAGTATGGACAATATGCAAGCCAAAAGCATACATGAATCATTATAACTGATACTTAATAACCATATAGTTACAAGCTAATGATAATTAACTCAATTACTATACAAATAGAACAATATTTCCTGTTGTATTAAATTACAATATAATTTATTGTTATAATATGTAATAAAAATGTAAATTTAATTCCCAGGTAATCTGTATACATGATTTGAGTTCAGTGTATCATGTTCCTTTACTAATGGAGAATCAAGGTGTTGTACAGTACCTGAATGAGAGGCTACAGTTGAATATATCTATGCCACGTCCTGGAAGGTTAGTCACTATTCAGAACTTTTATAAAATAATAATATGACTATGTAAGTTCTTAATATTTCACGTTGTAATCTGAAAAGTCTGATTTATATTTCGACAAATTAAAAATGTCATTGCTGATATTTATAAATGTCAACATCTGCCTTTTTATCACCTTTTCACGAGAAAACGCCTGATTTAATTAAATATAACAAAGGAATATTTATTATAATAAAGCTAATCTGGAAAGTGGCGTAATTGGATGAATGTTTGTACAGACAAAGTCGCAAAGTAGAGCTAGTGTTATTATATATTAATTATGTGCATTATGCATTCTGTTCGCGTGTTTCTTATTGGAAATTACTTACAAATTGTGTAACTAATTGAATGAATAAATAAGTAATTGTTCAATTATCTATCGCTCATGCAATATACTAGTGGGTATCTGAGGAGAGATAATATAATCTAATTCGAACGATACAAAGTTTATTCATTTTCATTCAGTAACGCGTACGGCATTCATGACCATGAAGTAAATAGTGGGCTTCTGTCATAATCATATGGCTATGAAACGCAATAATAAGTATACATAAGTATACTTACTAAGTTAACAAATTATTCCTTTCTACACACAAACCAAATAGTTCTATAAATTGTATTTTATATAGTCACATGTAAACAACATGTGCCCACACGAACATACCCACAAATAAATCCCAACTGTTATCATCATGTAACAATGTATCTGAATGCGACTAGAAATTGTACTAATTCATTCCCCTCCGATCGATCCACCATCAATTCGGAACAAACCAAACGGAATCGAAATTAGGACGCCCTGAGTCGAAGTTCGAATCCCCAACGGTGCCCTCAGACTAAAGTCTTAACCGCCAGGCAGGAGTTGGCCTATAGCCGGTCCATAAGTCCTTCCGCGAGTTTGGAAAGCCAACTGCGCCCAACAACCTAAAAAACAAAACTTATTTTGATGAAAACATTGCATAATTAAACAAAGTAGGTACAGTTATAATTGAGAATTGTTCTTTTGGCCGTGGTTGGTTCAAAATTAATAATATTCATAATTATTTAATTTTATATCTATTACTGCATACAGATTCATGCAAAAATGGAGAAATCTCGCAAAGCGAGTCGATAATTTACGCAAAGAAGTTAACATAGCATTAGTAGGAAAGTACACTAAACTTGAAGACAGCTATGCCAGTGTCACTAAGGCACTGCAACACGCGTGTATCGCCTCAGGCTGTAAGCTCAATCTCACATACATTGAGGCTGTAAATTTAGAGAAACAGATGAAAATTGATGATCCAGTTAGTTACCATAAAGCATGGCAGGATCTCTGCAAGAGCGAGTAAGTCTTTATTATTCATTATCATCATCATCTTTACCTAAAGTGTATCTAGAATTTCCACTAAATGATAGCTCTGATTATACGGTTATTTGTTTATAGAGCTACATAATATGTGGACATATATTACTATTCTAATAACAATGAAATATATTATGTTATCTAAAAAGTTGTTTTTATATTTGAAGTTATTAATTTCAAATATAAAAACAACATGATCGTTTGTGAAGGTTTTCATTTATATATATTTTTTACTTAGTTGTTACGTAAACAAATTTACACTAAATGTAATTAATGACGAACAAAAGATCTGAGCGAAACCTTAGAATAAAGTATTTAGTTATATGATTATTTAAAATCTACATTGCAGTGGTGTCATAGTCCCAGGTGGTTTTGGTCAAAGAGGAATGGAGGGTAAAATCGAAGCATGCGAATGGTGCCGTGAAACACAGAAACCAATGCTCGGCATTTGTCTCGGTTTACAAGCTGCAGTAGTGGAGTTTGCTAGGAACGTTTTGGGGCTGAAGGGCGCTAACAGCACCGAAGTTAATCCACAGTGTAATGACAAATTGGTGATAGATATGCCTGAACATCATACAGGAAAATTAGGTGGTACCATGCGCCTGGGGAAAAGGAAAACATACTTAGAACAAAGTGTTATTAGTAAGTAATCTGCTGTTTGCATAACATTATTTTAGTTTATATACAAATACATAATACAATTATGTGTATATTTACAACAATACATGTATATTTTTTTATGTTATTTTGCGGAAGTGTATTTCATTCCTTTATGGATTATATACATATTTTTAATTCCGCTGCCATTAGCGTTGTGCGAGAAAACAAATATTTAGTACCGAAACCTCACCACTGCTACTGATAGCGTTATAACCATTTCTCTTAGTGATGAAATTCCGATAGTTATTAGTATGGGATCTACACCCATATAACGACATGTATTTCAACAGACTGTTGACTGGTCATACTCTGGTCGTCAACATGCCTACTGTTGACGACCAGAGTATGACCAAGCTATATTCTGCTATAATTTTACTATCAAATCTCACCCTCCTCTACCACTAATAACTGTTTATCTTTTACATTTAGCTCGACTATATAATAAAGATGTGATAGAAGAACGACACAGACATCGCTATGAAGTAAATCCCGAGTACATAGAGAGTCTCGAAGCGGCTGGTCTTCGGTTTGTTGGTAAAGACGAAACCAAGACACGCATGGAAGTGGCGGTGGTGGATTCTCACCCTTATTACGTTGCTGTACAGTTCCATCCTGAATACTTGTCAAGGCCACTGTCACCAAGCCCGCCATTCTTAGGGTTAGTATAGTTTTTTTTAATAGAGTGGTACCAAACTAGCCTAACAGGCCTCTATCAACACGTAATTTCACTAAATCCGATAGCGAAGTTACTAATGGTTCTCCAAGACCATCATTGCATTTTTCCGTACACTGCCTGAGAATACTTTTCCATTAATTGAACATCAAGTTTACATTTCTGAATACTTAATACTTAGAATGTTAACACATGGAACTAACTATTATTCTTTCACATTTTAATCACATTAGTTGCCATTTGTGTTGTGGAAGTTAATTAGTAGTACTTAAGTTAATTAGTGTGTTTACATATTGTTGTCTCTATTTCATCTGTACAACAATTATTATTAAACTAATTGCAGCCTTTTGAGCGGCATTAAATAACAAACATCAAAATAGTTCTATCTCTTTATAGTATCTTAGATGCTCATTAAAAATGTCTAGTACAGGCTCATGTAAAGGAGAAAAGAAAAGAAATTTAAAACTCTAAACATTTACTTATTTATTTTCACAGATTAATATTAGCGTCACTTGGAAAACTAAAGAGTTACTTATCCAGAGGCTGCCGGTTCAGTCCTCGGAATCAGTCAGATGTTAGTTCAGGTAAGGAAGTATCTAGTAGATTTTTCTTACTATAAATAGAGATAATGTTGTTTTCGAAATTTATTTTGAAGATAATCACACTCAATATAGTTTGTGAGTTCGGTTTTTTTTTACCCTACCTCTCTGTTTATCACATTGCCTTTTTAGGAATGATTAAATATAAGTAGAGCCATCAGCAATTTATTTAACAGAAAAATAAGTAAATATTTATATTTACAATATTTTCAGATGAAGAAGACATTTTAAGTTTGATTGAAGACAACAAATCAGTTATTGAAAATGGCAAACCAACGAATGGTACGCATGAATAAGAAGTGATTAGATTATGGGTAATACATTTTTAGTTACAAGTAGAATTTGTATATTTTTTTTATTTTGATGGAGTAAGTCACGTATTATATTTAGAAATAAATGTGACGCTATTTCGTGTAAATTGTACCTTCATGGATGAATTTTATGGCCAATATTTAACTCTCATTATGGCCATAAAAATATAGTTATAGCTTCCCTCTTTGAATATGTAAGAAATTTATATTAATATTGGTCATAAAATATTTAACATTATTATTCATTTATAAATCAAACACATAACGACCTTATTTTAAAAATTAGAGTGATCTTTTCTTTTATTTGCGCAATTTTTTCAATGTGAAAAAACATTAATAATTCATAGAGCTTACGTTTATATATGTATAATGAATATTATTTAATAGTGCTCATTAATATTCCCTTAAGAATAAGTTTGCGTTTAAATTATTATCTAGTTCACTCTATAGTATCGCTCTATGAAGTTAAAACTCTCATTACTCTGTAGTTATGATATTTGTTACCTCTCTAATTGTATCACTTTTTATGTCATTCGGATGTATTTTTTATTCTACTTAATTTTTAATTGCATGATATTAAAGCACCTTCTTATTGTTGTCTAATTATTGTTGTAGGATTAATAAAACAATTCTTTTTTTTTACAGTATATTACTGTTAAAAATACCTATAAACAAAATGGTAGTATTTAAACAGTTACATTTAATAGACAACAACATACAACTTTTTGGTTGTTACAATTATATTCCTATGTTATAATCGACAGTAGAATATATCCTTTTGCATGTATTTCTATATTTCATGGTCATTGAATGAAGTCGCAGACACAAAACAGAATTAGATTGATTTGTAATTTTTTTGTTTAAATTAATGTTATTAGATATACAGCGCTTTCTAGTCTGGAAATAACTAAATGTACTTTGAGATCTAAACACATATTTTAAAAAAAGACAAACAATGAAATTGTCAATAGGCATAACTAAAATAATTGAAATTATCACATAGTCATATTATACACAGGTTAGATATTACAGTTTTAGTTGATATTAGCTAGTCAGTACAGTTTTGCATAATACCAATTGTATGTTCTTATTTCTATACATTTATATATAAGTACAGTCGGCAACAAATTATCTTCATTTGTGTGTTTTGCTATAATTGAATAGATTGAGTTTTGCTACTGACTGTAAAAATGTAATATCTATCTCAAAAGCATAAGTATTTTTTTCTAGTTAAGACATGTAAAATTTTGTTTTTATATAATGAAATACTACTACTACACATACCTTGCTCAAAAATGTTGGAGTACATGATATATTGTTAAAATAAAATCTATTCTTGTAAAAATAACTTTAATATTAATAAGAATCATTGCCCCACGTATAATACAAAAAGAAGTTATATTTTTTAATTTATGTATATAGTGAATGAAAATCGAGATAACAGTATAATTAAGTAATTGCGTATAAATGGATTATTTTATAGACTGCTGAGATAGTGGCGTCTTGTCTGTACAAAATGCAGAAAATGCTCGAATTTAGCTGAATCTTATGAAATAAAACTTATATATACGGCATGTTTTCCCTAATCAGCCAGATAGGCAGGGTTACACCCTTTACCCCGCCTTTCGAAATAATTACCGCAATCTCAAGCTTTAATATGGTCTATATTGAGAAATTATTTTTAAACCATATGAGATGCATTAACTCAGGTATTCATTCTTTAAGACACAGACCTACCCATAACCCACCTTACCCAGAACCCATCTCATTACCTATTTCTACCCGTACGCTATCGTAGGTTTAAGCTATACAGTATATATTTAAAACAACAATCGCATACTTTAAGATTAGTAAATTGTAGATATTAGTTGTTTGTCTAAGTAAAATATTAATATTTTTTAATGACTACATTTAAGTAAAGTTGTTGCTACCTATTTTAGCAAAATAGAAATATTATTTCATCGTTATACTCAATTGACTGTAAACTGCAGGGTAACTTTTGATTCGATTTTGAAATGGTCCATTCAAACAATAATGTTTTACTTATATTTATATATAAAGACTATAGAACATTAATAATGAATCGGTAAAAAAACTTCTAATATGTTATTTTGTTAATTCTTCTAATTGTTAATTAAAAAAAACGAATGTAAGATGTCTAATCGATGTCATTTCGATTCTTTGCGTCAAAAGTAACCCAGTAGGTCAAATAAATAAACAATGTATGTCCATTAGAATGTAATATACGACTGTTAATACAATGCCAGAATTAATTAGTATCTTTGCAATCTTGAGTTCATAAAAAATCCCGTGTAAAATGTTGTTTCGGAACCCTCGAAGTAAGAGTACAACTGGCATTTTACCTTTTTTTTTTTTTTAGTTATGGCCGATATAAATAAATTAGCCATATGAACACTACGCTGATTGATGTGCTTGTGCGTGTATTTTATTGTTCATGTTGTTTTCTTTTTAATTAAGTGTAAATGTCATTTTACTGCATTATATTAAAAGACGTGGTAAACACACATCACTATTAGATTAAATACATCCAGTTTGTTTGTTTTACTCGAAACATATGCAGTGCACTAAGAAATATAAAATAACAAAATAATATTTACATATTTATTTACTCATAATATACTTATTTAGTTATGTCCCTCTCTGTCTTTTCAATGCACCCTTATATTAATTTTAATGTAGACATTTCTCAAATATTTGAAGATCTAAGTCGACTAATTTTTTTATTGACGCTGAATCATTTCAGAAACTCATTATAATCTCCATATAATAATTTATTGATTGATTCATAAATTTTTCTTGAGATGCATTTGAATTTAGATATTCTTTAAGTAATTGGTATCTTTTTCATACTTAAATACTGATAATAAATTTTACTGTTGTACATTTACACAAATGTTTGTCTCATGTAATCATCTATATATCTACACTTGCATTGCTTTTTGGGCGATAGTTAAGTGTATATATACATAATGAATATTCTGCAATAAATTATAGTATTACAAATAATTTAGGCAGAGGCCATTTTAGAATCACATAGTATAACTACTTATAACTTCATTTCATGATTCTGAACATGGTGCCTACCACTCTATACTTTAACAACATAGTACAATTTTCTTCTTCGATTGTATTAAAATTTCACATTATAGTGATGTTATTGTAATAAAAAAGGTGATGTTATGGCTGTTGTAATTACTTTATAAAGAATATATTTTTATTGGAAAAAAATTGTAAATTATAATGAATAGTGCATGGTAAGGTAGTAATTGGTATATGAATTAAAATAACGGAAAAGTGTATATTACTGACAGCATTATAGATATAAACCCAAAAGTTTGCTAACTTTTTTAACAATTCAATTTACAATATTAGTGCAAAATTGTTTACTATGACATAAACATTGAGCGTGCATTCCATTCACACTTAACAATGCAGTTACAATTTTAGATAATATTAACTTTAGATATTGTTTAAATACGAAAAAATATAAAGTTATTCTTGGCTGTCTGTTTTATTTCAATAAATGTACGTCCTCTTACGCTCCAACGTATAATCCTTTTATTAACTTGTAATAAATTATTTGCATATATTATAATCGCATAGAAGTCTGACCGTTTGGAACAGTCAAGTCATATACCTAAAAAGTTTTTTTAAATATTTGCAGCTTGAAATTAACTTCTATATGCCTCTATTTAACTGCCTTAGACTAATCTTTAGCGCGCCTAACAGAAAATGACAAAGAATTTCGAAAAAAAAAATCCTATTTAATAATCGATGCGCCGTCTCCTAGTATTTTACTACCCCACCCTATATGTGAGTTTAAACCTATTTGACGCAAATTTGAAAAATAATAAAAACCTTTGGTATTAAATTATATTTCTTACTGACTTTCCAGTGAAGGGAACTCTGACAACAAAACCAAAAGTTGTTTCGAGATACGGCGGTAGTCGCTTCAGCCACGTTGTAGTGTTTTTTTTTTTTGTATGTGATAATGGAATGGTGCATCCGCCTGCGCTAACGGTTTACGCTGGCGGGGCACCAGTGGAGGGTGATAATATGAGCATGAGGTCAGGTCAGTTAGCCCATCGTGACAAATTCACCAGGAATTTAACACGATGGTTTCCAGGGGGAACCGCGTGGAGGTCAACCTGACATGGTACATTGCTAGTAATGGGTTCATTAGTCCACATTACTAACAATCCCATTTCCCCCCGCCACGTTGTAGTCATGTTGTTCAAATATACCGAACAAAATATTGACATCAAGTGTTGCTTTCGATATGACGTCGACCAGCGACAATGTTGGGGGGACAACAGTTGGAGTATTCAGAGAATACCCCAACTGTGATAATAATATAGGACAATCTGCTGCAAATTCGTTTATAGGAATTCGGTTCCAAATCGGTAGATGTGTATTTACCCTGGAAGTGTACAAGATTCACAGCTATTCTTCTTCTTCTTCTTTTAGTTTAAATGGCTTCCACCAAATGAGGTCGGTGATTTTGCCAACGTCGTGGTTTGGAAGACACAGTGGTGTGGTTTACAGTTTTCTTGACTGTGTTCGTAGAAAGGACAAAATCGAACAAAATATTGTGACATTGACAGATTGCCTAGAATGTTGCCAAGAATTAAACTTTACCATTTAAAGCAGGTAATAAATATCCTGTTTCATAAAATCCACTTTTTAACATTACTTTGTTAAAAGTTAGCGTTTAACTATTACGAAAAGAAATTATTAAAGAACTGTACATTATAATAAAGTCCTGTTTGAAATATTTTTTTAAATTAAAGGCGAAGATGCGGTTTTGTACTCCTTTAGTTCACCACCTATTGATGTTGATCAAATGATAACAATAATAAATAATCGATTTATACGGACGAAGTACTTAATTGTAAATAGAATTATTCATCGATTCCTTTGGAGTGATTATTCTCGGCTTCCTATAGTCTATATGTTGGCCAATTTTAAACAATATATTTATTAAAAATTAGGCCAATTCCTGCACACGTTTTTACGTGAAGCGATAACACAATAACAGACAAACAGATCTATATATGTATATGACACTTTTAAAACGAAACTTATCAATTTCGACTACAAATACATAAAATCTGTTAAAATTGACAATGAAATTGTGTTTCTATCAGAATCGAAAGAAAAGTATTATTACGAATTCGTGGAAAACGGAAGCTAATTTTACGACAAAGCTTACCTTGAATCCTTGATTGAATTACCTACCAAAAACTACAATAATTACAGAGGAGGTAATTTTAACATATCAGGTGTTAACACTGTTATTTGAGATTCCAATACTGTTCACCTAAAAAACTCTCGAAAATATATTCTGTTTTTCATAAGAGTTTAACTATTATATTAATGTTTTCATAAAAAAATTGTTGTTTTAAAGTACGGTCTAGATTATTATTTTTTAATAACTTACGCAACCATGTGTTTTCACCGCGGACCATGACATGAATCCTATGTAGTATATTGTAATTTAAATTTATTTGTGAACAAGTGCCGTCGCGATGGTGTTCGAATCGATTGTAGTGGACGTGTTGAACAGGTTTCTTGGAGACTACGTGGAGAACCTGAACAGATCTCAGCTCAAATTAGGGATATGGGGAGGTAAGTAACCCGGCATGATGTCATACCTACACTACGGTAGATCGAATTATCTTTTGTATATGACTATAAATATAAATATTTGACACTGTTTCTCTTTCAGGTGATGTCGTCTTGGAAAATTTGATATTAAAACAGAATGCATTGGAAGAACTCAATATACCTGTCCAGACAGTTTATGGTCATTTGGGTGAGTGTTTATAAGGAATAATTTTTAATTTTTTTTTTTATAAATATCATAATATATAGTACACATTCTCAATAAATTATATATTTTTAATCAATTACATATTGATATTGTTAATAACAATGGGTCACAAAATGTAAATATAATCATATCAAGATGGGATAATGACATCCTTAAATCTTTATTAATCCCTTTTCTCAGTTTTACCCCCACCTAGCACTAAAAGCTTAATAAATGTGATGGAGAAATGTCTCCAAATAAACTAATTGCTAGAATTGGTCTAATTTCATATGGTTTTATCTAGAAACCATCGTAGTTAAGTTCTGCTGTATTTGCCACAATGGTCTAACTGTTCTGTGTTGACTCCTCCTATCATATTTCACTGAATTATCCATCACACCAACATATATCAAAGTCAATAGTAATTTATTCACATATGATCTATCGGCCGCTATGCTCGTTTAATTATTATAATTCCAGTTGCTACTTCTGTTGAAAAGAATTAGCAATATAGTCAATTGATACATTTATTATTTGAACTCAGTTTCAATCTTTAAATGTTCCATATTATTTAAGCAGTGTATATATCTAACATGTTTACGACATAAAATCCCTAGAGGGAACAACAAATGCTGTACAAGGTTGTCTTCCAAATAATAGCTTACAGGTTTAATAAATTAAGTATTACATAACAATTTTTTTTAATTCAATAGTAAGTAGAACCAAAATATGTGTCATATTATAAATTTAATGGCCATTCCTATAAAAGACCTATTAATTTTATCTAAACTGAATGTGGGGACTGCAAGTTTGTATTTGCATTTATTGTTAAAGTTATTATATGTTATACTATTAGCATTAGAGTCATATAAACATCATCCAATAAAAAAGTCACCAATTTTTAATATCTGTTTTTTTTTGTATTACATATATATTTTTGTTCTATTATCAGTAGTTTCGATTTTTATATGGTAGAAATAATGTGATAGACATTATTTCTACCATATAAAAATCGAAAGTTACCGAAACACTAGTAAGTGGTAGTATGCTATTGAGGGTGGAATGGTATAAGTAGTTTAGTTAAGCGGTATATTTAGTTAGTGGTAAATTACAACTTATTTATTTCTGTGTAAACAATTTATAACATACTTTAATTTACTAAGATTTAAAATGATTACACATAAATCAATATTTATTTTGTCTATATCTAAAGATTTGATGAATTAAATATATGCTACTTATAAAATTTCCACTTGCATGTTTATTTTAGTATTATATAATAGCTATCAAAATGCTATAAACAAGCTCACCTGTGTCATGTGTTATAAATATAAATAAATTACTCATTGCACTGGAAGGGAAGAGAACAATAGGATTACTATTTTAGGGTTAAGGTAGTATATTAATTTGTATGCATAGTCTGACATTTATATATGGTTGTAACACTTATGGCTGTAGAATTCGTTTGTACATGGAACTGTACCTAAGCTTTGGATAATAGAAATAAATTTTTAATTACTTGTAATTTTATAATGTCAATGAGAATATTTGTCTAAACTTTTCCTACAGCTGCCATACAAATGATATTTAAATATTTATATTTGAATTACTGAGTATTATCAGATCAAAAATATATAAATTGTTATATTTTTTTAACTGCTAAGAGATGGACATACTATAATATTCCATTCTACATTTGCGATAGTTGCTGTGGATGATTTGTTTAAAATTAAACACTGATATATCTGTATATACACCTCTATCAAACCTACTGATCCAAATTTAAATATATCTAAAATTATTTCTAATCAATCACTTTAGTATTTTAATACACGAACTGATGAACAAAGTCACCCTTAAAAGTTCTGTTTCAATACTGAAACTCTAAAACTATTTAATAATGAATAATTTCGAAGGAGTAACGAAACGGATTCTTCATATGCATCTTGAATATAATAGCATCAAAAATAATCAATTTTTGGCATGCCAACCAGTCTCAATGATGCAAGGTTATATCAGTACTCCACTTAGCATATATTCGGTATAGACAGTAGCGTATAATTGTGACACCGTAATAAAGTTCAGAGCGGTGACATCATGCCCTCAAATCAGACTCTTTGATTGTGTTAGTGAGTCAGACGGGATCCGAAGGTCATCATTTGACCTCCGCTTACATTACCTATCACTGAATGCCTAAAAAATATCTTTCTGCCCAATAACAATTTGTATGTTAAACATGTATATTTGTGTTCTATTATATATTAGCTGGTTTATATGTTTCACGAAATTTTAAAATTTGTTCTCGGGTTGGTCCCGTAAATTTTATTTCGGATTGGATGTTAATTTATTGTTTGTATCCTAATGATCTATGACCGTTATGACCATGGAATTTTAAAAATAACTATTTTAACTTCGTTTACAAAAATTGTAATTGATGTCGTCTTGAGAAAATTGGAATTGATGTATAGCTAACATTGTAGAAAGTCTTCTGGAAAAAACTATAATTTCCTACTATAAACCTACTTAAATTTGTTATCTCGCCATACGATAAAGTAAATATTACACCGCATAAAACACGAGTATACGAGGCAATAATTCTAGATCTGGATGGATCTATTTGAGTGTGTAGTAAAGACGGGGACCCATTAGCTCTGTTTGTTAATATACATAATTTACTTGAGCCAACACTATTGGCTACTTGAATCAAGTGTGATGGTATGATCGGTATCTAATTCCATCAATAAATACGTAGATACTTATTAAATTAGTAAAACGCTTGCGTGACATATTTTATATGAGTAAACATGATTTCTTACTTTATTCAAGTGTTTTACATATTTATTATTATTATTAATTTATTAGTTATTTGCTTCAAGGCAACTTAATATTATTTATATAATAACAAGTAGTACAATTAAGTACACATCTAATAATTTTAATATATTTACATACATATTATTATTGTAAAGTATTAAATTATTATATATACTCATACCTATCTACTATCATGTTAATTATTTAGAACTGCTATTGTCTTATGTACAAAATGGCATAATTTTTTTGTTTTATTTTTCGTTGGTACACATTATTGTTTTTATTTTCCCCCGTCAACGAGTTTATTTCTTTAATCGCATGAGATCTAATCTTATTACATGCCTATTTTTATATTGAGCGCCATTTTCGTGATACTGTAGAATGTTACCTTCTACAGTATAACGAAAATATAGTAATTTTAGCAATGCATATACATATCTATAAACTATTAGGTACAGTCTAAATTTGGCTTTTATTATCAATATTTAACACATGCTATAATAAAAACCGTGTATGCTATATAGGTAGCACGTATATATAGTTACGTTGTATAGACGTTTTATGAGTAGGTACATTAATAATACAGTAATCTATATTTATGTAGACTGTAAAGTACGTATTGTAATCGATATAATTGTTCTCCAGAATTATTCAACTGTCTACGCCATTCGTAACTGTTTTCTCCATACGGTAAAAGAATATGTCACCACTCACTTAAATCTCCAGGTTGTACAAATGAGTATAGTACAAAGGGAAAAACACAAATCGGTGCAAATAGGATATCGAATTAGACTCTATTAGAATATCTTTTAAGAGGAGAGAGTTCCGATTGCAACAATGGGGCAGGTTGTCCTTTCCTTAGTGCGCTGTAGAAACCACTAAATTTATTTTGTTTGTTTATACAGGTAAACTAGTACTTAAGATACCATGGAAAAATCTATACGGTGCGTCTGTAGAAGCAACTGTGGACCGTCTGTTTCTTATTGTGAATCCTACCGCTGAAGTCAAGTATGACCCAGAGAAGGAAGAGAAAATGGCACTGGCCTCAAAGCAGGCCGAACTTGTGAGGGTTGAGGAAGCTAAGAAAAAAGAAGCAGAGAAGGGTATGTTATTTATTATTTAATCCCGCGTTTATCATATTTTGAATTTAATTTACATAAATTCCACGCGTTGTCATTCCAGAGGACTAAGGTATCATACCTCCTATCCCGTAAATTAATTCTTTAATCATAGCTCTACAACCAAAACATATCTTACGAAACAAGCTGCTGAGACTGAAATAGGTGAGACTAAGATACCGACGCAGACGAGTTTTGAAAGTCCACCTCTGGTAAACTTACGAGATAGACTAATAAGAAAGAATTTAAAGCTGTCGGTAGCAGCAGTTGTATATTATATTCATAGATTTGGGAAATGGAGGATGCAAATTATTAGGAAAGTTGTAAGGATAGGTACTGGCCTTTTCTTCTCTGTCTATCGCATCCCTTACATGGTAGATTTAGTATTATAGTGAGACGTATTTGAATATCTAACATATGGTTTTGTTGAAATTTTAGGAATAAATAAATAATAACTGTTTTGTATATCTAACCACTTATGAGGAAGTATGTAAATACCTAACTGTCGGTAGTAATGTAACGGAAGTATTCAGTTGATTAATTATTAGTTACGCGCTAATCTATTAATTTACTGATTATAGATTCAGAGTAGAACATGCTTAATTGTTCCACAGCCACATTACTTTTTGATCGGTTTTGTACTATGTACGCTATGGAAGCTACTGTTATTTTGTCTAAGACAAATTTCTGCCTCATTCTGTTTGTGTTTTAGTAATTATCTCTATCTAATCAGTAATCTTTATAGACGTTAGACAAATGACTGATAAGCGATTATTTAATCAATGTGTTGTTCATCATGATTTTAATGAAGCAATCTACTTAATTAATGCACCAATTAATTATTTAAGGTTTAAGCTAATGTAAAAAGTACTTAATTGGGAGTCATTAGTCCTTTCATATAGAGTAGACTACGTCGCGTCGGTAACATCAAGTCCTGCCCAAAAGTATACAACCTCCTGCTTATCTTATCACAGGTTTCAAAGAAAGACCACAAAAGCAATCCACGATTTTTATAGAGTACCTATGGCTAACCGTGATCGTCTGCCTTTTCGGTTCGTGGTCTCGGTGACCCCGAAAATTATTTGGGACGTAAGAGTGTCCTATATGTGGGTTTGTCCTTTATTTACAATACGATAGTTTTTCATATTTGTAAAAAAAAAACAATTATCTATAAATGACAAGGTTTTTATTCCCATTAGCAACACAAGCATTTCGTCTCAAAATTTAGTTTTTTTATGAATCAGTCCTATAACAATAAATAAATGTGCTGATGGCAAAATATCTCGTTATAGGTTAAGATAAAAATGTTCACATTGGGTCTGCTACGCAGGATATTCACAAACAATAACCTGACACGGGTATATCACTCTAGTATTATATGGACGAGCTAATTCCTTAGGGTCAAAGATAACCTTTCTCATTGTGTTATCTGAGCTACTTCTTTATTTATAGCAGTTGGAATAAGCGACAGTAGCCCGTATTATAATGCAATCGCTTGTTTCTGCGACTCGGTATTGTAATATATTTAACAATGGTATTATCAGTACCTTATATGTTACGTGAGACACTCATAACATGCAAACTACAGTCTGTCTCACGGGTTGCGTGTTTAAGACTATTTAGTATGAATCCGATTATTTCGCCCACTATTTTGTTGTGTTGTTAAAAATAATAGTTTGTTTAAGTATGTATTTATAAACTCTTTATTGCACCAATAGAATTAATACATAAGAATTTTACAGAAAAGTGATATGGAAGTACAAATATTTATTTCTTCATATTATTGGGAGATTACCTAGATACTATTGAAACTCTGTTGATTTTTTGTATCGTAGAATTTGCCTTGTGTGGATCAATAAAGAAATCTTGAAAATAATGCTATTTATGTTCCACTTTCTTTAAACCACTAATATTAGATTTGTTGTAATAAACTAAGTCCAGAATTATGATTAAATCTTATGATCATAATCCTTAATCAACAGCAGCCTTAGCTGCTATAAGGTTTCTTAAAATCGTATCTATCTATAATTGGGCTAATGTATCGGCGCTGGCGTGACCACCGAATCAAATTCAATGTATTACTATTACAATATTAATTCATATGTATGTAAGGTATAGTATTTATAATATGGGCCTAGTAGCCTGAAATAATTAAATAAAATAATAGTGTTACTTGTTACCACAGGAAAAGACAGATAAATCAGTATTCTCGCGAACCATTCCCTCAGTTGTTATGTTATCTATTATTATTTACATTTCGCAGATCAAAATAAACTTGATGAGACATTCGTGGAGAAGTTGGTAACACAGATAATCAAGAATGTACAATTAAAAATAACAGATATACATATACGATACGAGGATAGCATAACTAATCCAAAGGCACCGTTCTCCTTTGGTATAACACTGCACAATCTGTCCGTCCACACAACAGATGAAAATTGGAAGCAAGCGGTTATTCAAGAAGCTGTGACAAAAATTTTTAAGGTATAATAATTATTGACATCTTTATTTACTTATGTAAGAACACACTGTACATATTACAAACAGTACAAGCATTTTTATGTTGTTATCAATGTGACGCTTGACTCACAATAACTTATACTACAGTATGCGTATATAATGTACTTAATTAATAAGCCATAGAATAATATTTAAGTAGCCTGTTTGAAAACGGATTATAGGATAACAGATTATATTTATTTTACTAAACATTTGTATTCTGAAATTAATCAAACTATTGTTAATATTTAGAAAAATTATCAAAATGCAAACCACCTTCTGTTTAAAGTGGACTTACATAATATTTAAATTATTTTGTTTAGCATATATAATGAATCTCGACAATAAAAAAAATCCTATAATACCATTACATAGTCATATTTATAATCATTCCTACATATCTCCATACCAAGGTATTTTGCCACTTATGATCATCTTAAATTTTTATTGCCATTACAATGCTCAAGTCCTACAAAAGAACTTAGGGCAGTTGCAAATAAATGTATCGATAATGAATCGACATAACTTAATTACAGATCTTGAACTTGGAGGGTTTAGCTATATATTGGAATCCTGCAACAGAATTATACTCAAAATGTCCCACGCAAGAGATCAAGACCAGACTAGAGAAAGAGATAGCAACAAAATCGTCTCAACCGTCATTCTACAAATATGGTAAGATATCACATATGTAGTGTAGAATGTTTACAAATACAACTGATAGTTTATAAAGAATACAGTGTTCAAACAAACAAGAAACTCTCCAGCTTGTGTCAGTTTATATTATCAGGGTCCAAGCTGTCTGTATTGAAAATCAATACCGCTTCATAATGCTTTCAATCCTCATACAAATAGAACGGAGGTCTCACGCGGACTAGCGGATAAACATAATTGCTTTATGGAAGTGTCCTTAGCATATCTACAATTTGCAGTGTGTTTTATTGCTACGGTGAAGTCCCAGTATATTTGTTACCATTTGTACTGACTTTCTGATTAATGACTGATGATAAAGTTTACATGCTCTTGAAGAATAAGGGTGTCTGAAAATGTCTAAACATATTATTAAATTTAAAATAAAGAGGTTAGAGTCTTTGCAATCTTTAAAACCCTGGGTTTCATCTTACTAATATGATAAATGTGGAAGTTTATGAGTATAGATGAATGTTTGTTACTGTTTCACGCAAAAACTACTAAATGAATTTTAATAAAACTTTATAGCTTATACATCATAATAACACATAGTTTATATATTTCACGCGAATGAAACCGCAGGCTCACCTAGTATAAGATATAAATTTAATTGTGTTATACAAATTGAGCTGTCATTTTAATAATCAAATTGCACATTACTCTTATGTTTATTAACTTATGTTTATTTTCAGCTTTGGGTCCAATCAATGCTACAGCAAAACTAAAATTAAATCCAAAACCAGAGGGTGATACACCTAAATTTAGTATACCTAAGGTGATATTAACACTTCATATGGAACAACTGTCAGTTAGTCTCAATAAAGCGCAGTACAGGGACATGATGCTGCTTGCAGATTCAATGGATAGGATGAGCAAAGGCACACCTTATAGGTTTGTGAAACTACTTGTAAATTGAACAAATTAATTGACCATATTAAATGTAACTGTATTATAAAGTACTTGTGTAGCCCATTGGAAGTCAAGTGATAATGGCCAGACGGGAAACCATAAAGTACGACCTGAGAATGTATGTTCGTTTAATTAAAGTGGGTCAAATTTATTTGGTTTTTGTTATTTGCTGTACTAATGAGGTGTAAATCATCATACATTATGACTACATACTCAAAGTATTGCTATACCTTGAATCTAAACTGTACGTAGATACTTGTTTAAATAAATTGACATTGTTAAGACTGATGACAAAATCAATGCACATAAAATGGCTTAAAAAAGCATGCAATCCTGTGCATGCTTTTTTCAATAATGTATTGTGGTCGGTTTTACTTAAAATTTAGTATTTTTATTTTTTGACAAATCACACAGCGCCATCTAGTCCCGTTAAGCAAAGTTTGTGTTATGGGTACTGATATAAATACGTACAAATATATTGTAATTACTTACATAATATACATAGAAAACACCCAGACCAATACCAACAAGTCATGAATAGAAATGTTTGTACCTTGCGAAGAATCGAACCCGCGACTATCAGAAGTCAGAGGTTGTCAATTTTTATAATTATTTACTACTAGCTGACCTGCGCAACCTCGTCTGCATTTCATTTCCCCACCTTTTGCAATATTTTTCATTGCAGCTGCGTTCCTACTGGTCGTGCATAATGTTGTATAGTTTAAAGCCTTCCTCGACAAATGGACTATCCAACACCAATATAATTTTTCAAATCGAACCAGTAATAATATTAGTATAGATTAAAGTATTTGCCTCTTTATGTTTGATACGTGGGGAGACTAAGTTGTATTAGTTGTTGTTCCGGGCAGACTATAGAGCAACCTAACATACAGTGCATTTATTTTCGGTAGGTTTTAGTACTTTCTTCATCTATCAAATACCTTTTACAGAAAATACCGCCCTGATCTGAAACTATACAAAGGCCACTACAAACAATGGTGGCATTTCGCTTACCAATGTGTACTAGAAGAGGAAGTGCGCAGGCGCCGAAGAAATTGGGACTGGACACACATGTTGGGTCATAGAAATTTGTGCAAAAATTACGCATCTGCGTACCAATCCAAGTTGAGCAATAAAGGAAAAGTCGGTGCTGATCAGCAATGCATATTGGATGAGGCTGAGAAGAAATTGGATTTATTTAACCTCGTTGTCATTAGACAGAAAATTGAAATGGAGGTATGTTTGTTTTCAATTTAGGTGTATAATATAGAAGTATTACCAGCAATTTTCTGCCCTCATCCAATTCACATAGGTTTTATTTTTCTTCATGATTTTCGAGCAATGTCTTGATTTAATCGGCGATTCTGATATGGGATTTATTAAAATTTCAATTTCATTTTATAATAATATTTTCTCGTTTCTCCGTGGTAATCCAAGAAATGTAAACAGGTAGATAAATTCTAACAGGTATATAAATATGGATGGTATAATATACATTATCTTTTAGATTTTTACAATTTTATGAGGCATAGTGTTAATTTACTTAATTATTATATTATGTAACAACGTTAACAATGCATATTGTGTATTTATATATGGTTTTCTCTTATAAATAGGTTGAAAGGCTTGGAAAGCTGGAGGCGGAGGCAAAGAAATCTCGTGGCTGGTTTGGCGGCTGGTGGTCTGGTGGCGGATCGAAAGATGACGAGCATGCCGAGGGAACAGCTATAAGTAAGTACTTTAAATGACATTTGTATATACCACAGTTTCAGTAATATTAGTTCCAGAGCAGCTAATGTTAGTATAATTCTGATACCTATGCAAAAATCCAACGAAACACATTTATTTGTTTGACTCTGTTATTTAGTGATAAACGAGATTATAAATATATCATATTAAAACGTATTGTTTAATCAATATGTATCAATTGACAATGGCGATGTCCTAAAATGGCTAATTTTGTCACTGTTAATCAAACACAGGAATGAAAGATTCTCCGAAGAAGGTTGTTGTAATAGCTAACGATATAGCAAATTCAGTCGAGATATACTACTATACAACTACTAACAGTATCCTGACGACCAAATTTTTAATCTGCTTCAATTTAGTAGGAGAATCTTAATTTTATTTGCCCAAGTTTATAATTAAGATAATAATTTTATTCTTTTTTGTTATAAAATGCGAAACAATTTCATGACAAATTATTTCTTTTGGTCTGGATATTTTATGCAGATATTAGCGCTATCTAGTATAATTTTAAGCAGACCTTGTACTCTGGGTTTGGTTTATTTTAAACTAAATGTTTTTCCTTAAGATATTTTTATAACGAGTATAATTAATCTGTATTTGTGTTACAGTGAAACAATTCGAAAAAGCTATGACACCGGACGAGAAGGACAAGCTCTTCCGTGCCATAGACTACCAGGAGAACACCGCACCCCTCCATTTGCCAGTGGAGTATGTAGCCGTAGTGGGACATTTCCGTCTCGACCGGCTTCAGGTGGCTGTAAACGATGACGTAGAAGTTCTCAAAGCTTGTGTGGACAATGTCGAAGTTGATTTGCAGCAACGGCCTAGTGCTAATGCACTGAGGTATGACTATATGTATCGATATTCAATCCAATGAATATATAATGATATTCAATCCCATGTGGTAGGGCTTATGTCCAATGTGAGCTTACGTCGTTGCTTGTTGAAGTAAGTCATCGGTGCTTGTTTCACGGGAGAGAGTCAAAAACATAATTGACACATTAATTAATTTAGTACTTCTTTGTCTGCGTAAACTTCCTATAAAGGGTTACAAAGTTTTTGCTTTCCTTGTACTATTCTTTAGTGTACGACAAAGTAAACAAGGCTTGTACTAGGGTTACTAAAGAACTACTATAGTTAATAATATTATTGTGAATACTTAAAAATATAAGAGTAATCGTGTATCAAATATTTGATACATGATTACTCTTATATTTTTTAAACATATGTTTAGAAACAGTATATTTATAGTGTCAGTGATAATAAAATAAATATATATATATATTATAATTTCAGAGTGGACGTACAAATGCAGGCGTTTAGCGTGACCGGAGTGCAACAGGATGAATTTATTCCACAGCTTGTAACATCCAAAGAAGTTACGAAAGACGTTAATCTCTTAAATGTCGTTTTTGAAACAAAACCTCTAGGTAAGGAAAAAATATATTACAAATATCTGTGTAAATTAATACTAGCCGTACTGCTATTTGTGTCACGATATTGTAATAGGGAAGAGTATTGCTTATCCTAAAATACAGGATTTTTCATATTTAGGGGGCAGGATGTCACCTTATATTTTAAGGATATAGTGTATCATATTTGTACTATAAATTAATGAATAAAATAAAAAGTTGATATTTTTTATATGTTATGTTTTTAGTGTCGTGTATGATACGCTTTATTGTCGTATTATTTTTAAATGGATGTGTTGTATTGGCCTAATAGCCGCAAACTCATCTCATATGTCATATCTCAGTGCTATAGAACCGAGAAATAGCCCAAACCAAAATCTAAATGTTTGGAAGTTATTTCATAACACTTGTCATTGTATATTGTCTATTACAGACGGCACTTGCGACCAAAGAGTAAAAGTGTCGGCGCGTCCTCTACAAATAGTGTATGATGCACAAACGGTCATCGAGATCGTCAACGTATTTAAACCGCCAAGCGAATCTACAGCTTTAACTACGTAAGTTACTATGTAATAGGAGGCATACTTTATGTTAGATCATTTCATAGATAATTTATTGATTTTTCTAAGCAGGATATTTAGTAAACGATATTCGCGTATTTTTTATTTACATTAGATATTTATAAGTAAGACAGATATAAAAATAATAGTACACAATTATATGAAAACAGTCTATCCATCCATTTTTATAATATTTAATAGCCTTTTTTGTATAATAATGTATCTAATATTTTTTATTGCTATTCATATTTCAGTTTACAAGCGGCTGCTGAAAATAAATTGTCGGATTTGAAAGAGAAATCGGCGTTAGGAATGCAATATGCTGTACATCATCACACGTTTATAGATTTGGATATTGATATTGCTGCATCTTATATCATTGTACCGCAAACAGGAATGTATAAAGGGTAAGTGTTCAATGTTGTGATTTAAATGTTACGAGTATAATAATTGTTCAAGATATTGAGGTTTCTTATGGAATGACCGTGTGTACAAGACAAATTATATAGTCAAAATTAATTAGTATAGGTATATATATATATATACTTATACTAATTAATATATAGTATAAGTATATATATATAGTATATAAGTCACAATTAATTAGTATAAGTTTTCTGTAAGCTTTATATAACTGGCTCTCTATCTCTATACGTAATTTATACGTATATTATGGTGTTCAGAGGTGAACCATGTGTGGCGGTAAAGTTGGGTGCTATCAGTGTGAAATCATCCGGACGGGGACAGCAGCTCGATGTACACCGGTTGCATCGTGAAGGGTTCTCCGACGAGGACATACTGCGGGAGATAGCACACCACAGCTACGACAAGATGGCGCTACAGCTCACAGAGATGCAGGTACTTTTGACGTGCTAAATATGTTTATACTTTGTCAAATAAACGGTAAAATAAAAGTGGTTGATTCAGGCCTCTTTATCTACTATCGTCCCCGAGGAAAACCTTCTAGTTACACGATTATTATGTGCTATACATATGTTGTAACGTTCGTTGTATTATATTTACTATTAGTATATTTATAAATTTAGTATATTTATAAATTTGATATGTAATTTATTTTCGTAATTGTTAATTAGGTTGTCATAGCCACAGCAAACGAGGACTGGCAATCCGCAATAGCTTCAAATGAAGCGACTCCACTGCATTTACTTCAGCCAACCAACTTAGTTATACAAATTCACAAATGCTTGATTACCGACGATCCACGTCTACCCAAGATAAAGATCCGAGGAGAACTTGAGAAAATTGCTATTAGTGCATCGGAAGACAGGTTTGCTGATATTCTTTTAGCATAACGACTTACATACCTAATTGCGCGACGCAAATGACGGTAAAATACATAGTCAATGAACACATAGTTCATTGACTATGTATTTTGTGTCGCTTTAGAGGTCAATTACATAGCCTGATTATGATAATACTTTTATCAATTACACAATTTAATTGTTTAAAAAAATCCAATAATCTATTGGATAATAACGACTGCTATATTGAAATAGCTTTGTGATTTATACACACACAAAATAAATATTTTATTAATCGCATAAATGCCTATTTATGCGATTAAGAGACATACTTAGTCTAGACTAATTAATGACCGAGACAAATCAAATAATATTATAATGTTGGTAACATGATGATGAGAGTTGTCTCTCTAGGTTTTATTTTTTATATGGTGGATAGTCAACTTCTTAGTCGTATCAGTTTCTACGATATATACATTTTTTATACATGTTATATTTTCAGATTATTGACATTATGTGAAATATTAGTAAGCATGCCTCTCCCTAAGTCAGAAGAAGCGACGCAACTAAAGGTACTATGCTTTATTTTTATTATTCCTCTATTTGTATGTGATTGGTCATCTATTTTATGTTACTTTTTATTTCTCGCGTCAAGATATTTTGCTACAAATGTGCGTATATGATGACGGGTCGCGTTATTCAAGCCCGAATAAAGATCGAAGAAGGAGGTAGTGGGGTAAAAATTAGCAAAAATAACAACTTCACTATTAATTTGTATATATGTAGTAGCACAAAAAATAGATAATTACTGTACTAAGTAACTAATATTTCAAATTTGACCGTAAATAAACGTAGTTTTATGTATAGTATTTTTTGTGGAGAAGTGTAAATTTAATTAAACTAGTAAACACAGCTACATATTTACAAAGCTTTAAACTGTTAGATATTTTCACGCTGTACCAATATCATAACAAAATGTTATACAAATAAAAAAGTAATTATAGAAATTTCATATGTATTTTACCAATTTCTAATTATATCTGTTTTCATGTGTAATTGGATCATTGTAATTACAGTTCTTTGTATCTTAAAAGGAAATATTCTTACATTGTTTATATAGAAATCATCTTCAACGACATCCGCATAATCAGACTGATTTTTAGTTTAGAAAAGAAAAAAATATAATGATAGTGATGTTCTAGCTATTTTAATAACGTATGTTGGTGTCAGCTTCTTTTTCTATTTTTGTATGTAATTGGAATGGAATAATGATGGTGACGCCTCTTTTGATGGTAAGAGGTAATCGTCGTCACCTATACACATGAACCGCACTACTGACAACATGTTACGCCGCTTATCTGTTGCCAGTCCAGAGGACTGAGACATTATGTCTCTTATACCCTAGTTCCAATGTCTTTCATGACTGATTCAATTATTAAAATATTTGGTCTTTTCAATTGTGCTTACTAGTGTATTGTAATTTTAGCCCAGTGAATCGAAAAGTTCCAGTCTGTCGCTGCTGAAGTACTTAGACCCTGTCGAGAAACAAAAAAGAGATACAGCGCGTTCTAACCAAAGGAAGACTGAGGAGCATACAGTTCAGTTGACTGAAGTTGAAGCGTTCTTTATTATGAAAGGTATATATAGGCTAGACCTTAAATTTTTATATAAATACATAAATAGTAATATTAATATAATTCGATAATGTTTCTATTTTTTGTTTATTTGTTTATTATCACTTCACGACTACACAGCTAAACGATATTAATGAAAATTGACATGAATAGAGATTCAATCACAAGAACGAATATAGGTTATTGTTTACTTTAAAAAGCTAACAAAGTTGCTGGCATTACCTAATATTATATAGTTTTCTGGTATTTATGTTGCATTTATACAAGTATGTTTTAATTTACTCTGGTATAATTTCTAAAGAATAGGTACGTAAGCGACATTGAATTAACAGATATATATATATAATTTGTTCATTACATTATTGCATGTTGCATATTTCATGTTTAATTAGTTTATGTTATAATTGCTATGCTATGCTGAATTTATAACTTAATAAAAATTTTATTTATCATTTTCAAGTAATGCAAACAAAACAAAGACTCATTTTCTTAATTAATCTAGTGTCATCAGTTTTTTTATTATATATATTATTATTAGTGTTACAGCCGCTATAATATGTTATAAGGTACTGTTAACCATTATTTCCACAGAACTGGTGCTTAGTGTCAACCGTAAGAGTGTTGAAACGGCCAAAGAATATGAAAAGTTCCTAGTATTCTCTCTCTATCTTTTGGAACTGAAGACAACACAAAAAACCTTCACATTGGAGGCGGCTGTCCGTCTTGGGGCCGTGCATATGCAACACCACAGACTTGAACAAAAAGTTATAAATATGGTTGAAACACCTGGAGAGGAGGAATTCGTTGAGAAGAATACAAATCAGTATTTGTTTGCGGTCACATATAGTAATGTATGTGTTTTAATATTTATTTTAATTTTATTATATTCATTTATAAACTCAAAAAAGAGCACCGGATACAGAAAAATATTAATTAATGGAAAATATACAATAACTAGTACAAAAGACAGTCATAGGTAAAATGTACATACTTTAGTACATTTTGAAATAGTAATTATACTATGTAGATTCCTGCATAGACTTTAATAATACACATATCCATGGTAAATTTTAAGGGAGGAAGGAGAAGTAGAACTTTTACTCATATCTTGTTGAAGAATCTCGACCTAGACATTCCAAAGGTATCAATTGCATTTCTCATTTATGAAAACTGATAAACCCGTGAATACTTACCGTATGTAAACTGAAAGCACCGAGAGAATTCCTTCTATGATGGTTTAAGTTAGTAACTTTTACATTTTCATCACGCTCGCAAAAGAACTAGATAAATTTGCTCTATGAAATAAAACTGAATTTTTAGTGTACATTTTAATTACAGGTTGACAAAAAGTGTCCAGAATTTAGAAGTCACTATGGATCAGTGGAACAGATGATAGAATTAGATTTCACTACATTGAGGCTTCTTCTTCATTTAGAGGGTCTGCAGGAAATTCTAGTCATTGTAAATGAGTACCAGGTACTACATACGTTTAATATATACTTTAGTTGATCGCAATAAAGTACATTTTATTGAATTCTTTTTAATTTACAGACTCGATTACAAACTATTCAAAGTACAGTAGACAGAACCGCAAATGCAGGTCCATTGGAAACAATTGTCGAAGATGAAGAATATTCTGCTGCTAAATCAAAAGGTATTAATTTTAATCATATCTATTTATGACATATTTATAGTGCCCGTTTTATATTTTTTAAATGTAATAGTTTATAGTTTATTTATCATTGATATATTATGTGTTAATGCACTAGAGCACATGTTATAAATAAACATTAATCACGAAGCAGTGAAGCATCTTCAATGAAATCGATATAAGAAGATATAAGAATAGATTATCAATCGCGGTCGTCTCCGCCAATATACTATCAGAATTACATAACTTTAATGTCATTCACCAATGCATTTATCTATTTCTGTATAATTTTCAGCCAATATTGTAAAACCATCACGTCGTAAGCAAGTGGAAAGCATACAACTGAAAGTGAACGTTAAGATTGGATCCATTGAAATTGGATTTTCTACTGACCGGCGCCCACTATCCACTGTTATTTTAGAGGGAGCAACTGCTGGGCTTGTATTGAAAAGTTCTTATACCCAAGTAGATTGTGCTATAGCGTCGCTTAAAGTAGAAGATCTTAACCCTGTAACTATACACAAACAGGTAAGTGAAATTTAATAATTTTAATGTGTCTTCCAGAACCTATTAACTGACGAATATCATTTAATATATAAAATTCTCGTGTTATAGGTTTCGTTTTCCTCCGAAACGGCTTCACCGATTATGATGAAATTTTATATGTATATTCAGTCTCTGAGAATAGATTTATAACTAATTTTTATACCCTAAGTGTTAAGGGTGACCCCAAAAATTTTGTTTTATTATGATTTACATTGAAAAATGCATACAATCCTAATTTTTCACCATTTATCAACCCCATTTTTTAATACCGATTTTAACTTATAAGTAAACTTTGAGTACACATTTATACAATAAACCATATGATGTTGGCTTTATGCTAGTTTTCAGAATGTCTATTTTAAATTAATATTTCTAATTTTGATGTAAATAATTTTCGAGCGGCTGCAGCACCTGTGACTCTACAGATTAAAAGCGTCGATATAGGATCTACCTTAATATTTGAATACACACCTAGACTAGGCATGCGATCCTATTACGTTTTTGTGACAGGAGAGTCTATGTCTTTAATTTAAGCTCATTGGTCTCATCAACTATGGGTTTCATTTTAACAGATACTGAAAGTATTAGGCGGCGATGTGATGAACGTTCGTATAGTGATGTACAACTTGGAACAGCACCCGTCTGTAAGTGACGTCAACATGTCAATAGACGCGCAAATTAACTGTCTGCGTATCATATTCCTCAACTGGTACGTCACGTCCATGCTGGTACGTATTCATTACAATTTTTGTATTGTTTTTTAGGGCTTAGAAGTTTTCAATGTTATTGTGTGCAATAAAATTTAATAAATAAATTCAATTTACAGGAATTTTTAAATAACTTCCAATCGGCACAACAAGCTATCATCGAAGCGTCATCACAGGCTGCAGATGCAGCTCGAGCGAATGTAGCAAACGCTTACCAAAACTCCACTAAAGTGTTGCTCAAAGTCCGTCTTGACGCACCCATTATTGTGGTCCCTGAGAACTCGACTAGTCTTAATGCTATGCTGGTAGATTTAGGTCGTATGAACTTAAACAACAAGTTCATTGATCTACCTGTTGCTGTAAGTACTACACCTCAATCAATTGTCTATTTATTAATTTATATATGTATACGTAAATATAACAAAAAAATTGCTCAAAATAAACAAGTTATTGTAATAAAATAGCACATATATTTTTTAAATTTATTTAGATAATTATAGTTCATTGCCTCATATCTTTTTCTACTTTCATAATTCATCATTGATATATGATGATGCCGGAAATTTAATTTCTCTTATTAAGTAATGTAAATCCTTAAGCTATTTTAATTCATCAATAACTTTCGTTATTACAAAATAACAGGATGTATCCAATAAAGTAACTGTTGACGAGCTGACCCTAGACTTGGAAGATATGAAAGTATCATGCGTGCAGCTGAAAGATGATAAGGACATCAGTCAAGAGCGTAAACTGCTTCGCCCCACGAGTTTCAAACTGTTGGTCAAACGCAGCCTCTCATCCTGGTATGAAAGCCTGCCAGATTTGGACGTTTCCGGACGTATGAGGACTATAGCTGTACGTAAGAAAATTGAATTAGTTCTACTGTTTAATATTTTCTTTCGTATTTCATCTTAATACCTGTATTATATTTATTTTTTTAGATTACCGTAGGACACAGTGATTACAAAAGTATTATGAAAATACTCAACCAAAATCTTCAAGAGGGTCAAGATAAGGTAGAAGAAGTCAAACCTCAACCTGGTGTATCTAAAGTGACGTCAAAGGCTGTTAAAAGTCAAACGAGCAGAGTTCAGACTAAATCAACAGTAGCCGTTATTACACCCAAGGAAGCGAAGCAACCAAGAACTACGATAAAATTCGCATTCACTATGGACAGTTTTGTTATAGATCTTATGAATACTGTTAGTGTAAGTATAAATACAAAATCTTTATTAAATTGACGTATCCTGAATCTATATTATTTGACAATCCAGGGTTCCTTTTTTACCAATTGGTATATCCACTTTGTATTCATTAACATAGTCCACTATGCAAGAATATTAGATATTTCAAAATATTTGAGAACTTTTATTTTAAAATATATCATACAAAATGTAAATATTTAGTATATTGTATGCTCCATTATAGTCCGAAGACACGATGTTCGTAAAAGACGTGGATCTGGCGCGGTTTTGTCTGGCTTTATTATCTGTCAAGGGTCGAATGTTCTCTGACAATTCTATGCACACATCAGTACTGCTCGTAGACTGCACCTTAGACGATACGAGACCGGGCCGTGGTGCAAAGATAACAAGGTAATAAAATAAACATATATCATAGAAAGTGTTTAAGCAAGAAATAGAACTATACTGTAATAATAAATACGTTCTGCAATTTTCCATGGTATATTTTTCCATCTTATGTGGTATGGATATCGGAATGCTAAAAACTATTAATGGAATAAAAATTAATCTCTTAATGAATATTCCAGATGCATATGCAACACCATAAATCAATATGCAGTCCATATTGATTTATCAATCAATAAATAATAATAATAATAAATCTGGACAATTCACACTGCGTCATCTAGTCCCAAGTTAAACAGAGCTTGCGTTAAAAAAAGATATATTTCTTTTGTAAATAAATATATAATATACATGGAAAGCACCCAGACCAATACAAACAACCATACTCATGAATACAAATCTTTTTACCGTGTTAGGAATCCAACCCGCGACCTTCGGTAGTAAAGTGGTTTGCTAAACCGCTAGACCACTGATTGCCGTCAAACTGATAGTCCAGTAAATAGGATAGATTAGATACGTGAATAATAATATTCAGGGAAATAAATACTATAATAATATACGGGAAAAAATTAAAAAAAGGGTTGAAAAAAGCCCTTTTTCAAAATAAGTCGATAACGGTAAGATATATGAAAACTTGTTTTAAATAAGAGTTGTAGAAAAAAAATCTACACAAAACAGGTGCTCTTCATTTTTTTATTATCTGCTGTTGTTTGTATATTTAAAAAAAAATCGTTAGATATCTGGAGAGGCGACGTGATAGGGGTGACACGAACACAACTCAACAGGCTGACGACAGTGTACTCATGGAGGCCAACGACAAGATACGTAGCATGATTGATATAACGTATACCATGAAGAATTCCGACATCTTTGGTGAGTTTCAATTTACCTAATCTATACTAACATCCATAAAAAATGCTTAATTAAGAATTACGAGTATGCACTTTTTTAATATATTACTATGTTTTTTTACTTTGTTAATTCACCATTTCATAATCAATTTATAGTTGACATGCGGATATTTAGCTTCAACCTTATCCTGGCTATGGATTTCCTCAACAAGATAGCTGAGTTCATGACCACGGGTCTAGCAGAGGACACATCGTCTATCAAACCAAAGGAGGACGTGAAATTATTAAAATCCACGGATAAATCTGTTGATAGTCTCCTTGTAAGTATTTTTTATTATCAAACTAAGAATACTTAATTTATTTTAAATGATTAGGTTACTCCGCATCTGATTATGACCATTTAATTTTGTTGGTTACATATGGTTACATAGTATACATTTTTTTTAGTGTTTTATTGACATGCTAATTTGGAACCACTTATGTATTATAAATATTGTCATTGTTAAGCAATAACAAAGTATTGTTTTATTGCCAAGGTATTAGCCACTGTTGTTTAAATAGTAAATAAGAGTAAAAACTGGCTTATACCGTATGTTGCGTTGTAAATGTGTAGATTGAAATAATTAGTTAAATTATTATTTATTATTATAAATTATTTTGTAATTACATAGAAAAAGAAACCGTCAGCAGCAACAACCCCGTCGACGGTGGAACAACCTCAGAATATGTCAATGATGACGGTTAACATCAAGATTGAACAACCTGACATTATCCTGGTAGAGTCACTTGAACAGAAGACATGTGACGCACTAGTGTTAAACGTACGTTTGGTTCATCTATTTATTTACACAATAAAACACATGAAACATACACAAGACACAATGAAACGAATATTGTCATAGAAAAAAAAAAATAGGAACAAAACCAAAATTTCTATATTCTAATCTGTTTGTGTTTTGTTTCGATTTTACTTAAAAAGGGGTGGATGAATTTGGATTAATTTCACAGAATATGTTGTTAAATATAAGTCAACATGTAGTGTAAAGAAAGCTACACCCTATGGTGAGGTGAGGTGAACTATTTATTTGTAGTAGTCGTCTACTAATAAATGGTCGTATTGACATATATGTAATATATAGGTCGGATAATTAATTTAAATTATAAGTTTGAACATTATTAAGGTTCTATTGTATGTGTATTGAACGACTAGCTTCGTATAGATAACTCCGATAACAGCACAGAAACAAACATGCATGTTAGCATTGTGAACTTCTTGTCTATTTGAACTATAAGTGTGCGAAATTTCACACTCCTCCGTTCGCGTCATTTTAGTAAAAATTGTTACAATGGTTTACAAAGTTAAAAGCTTCACGTATTACTATTTTACTTATTTTTCTTACAATAATAGATGGAAGCCAGATTTAAATTGCGCAAGACCTCGGAGCGCATGGTGGCAGATGGCGGCATATCCGGGCTGCAGATGGTAGTTCGTACACTGGGCCGTGGGGGACCCAGCGGTCCCGCACCGCGATATTTGCTGTCACCGGCTACACTTTCGCTGGCGCTCTCCCAGCCACCTGCAAGCGGGATGCATATAGACTTAGCCATTTCCGATATCAAAATCACTGTCTCGCCAGGTAACTGTAATATTAGTGAGATTTTGTCAGTTGTCTAGTACCCGTAATACAAGCTCTGTTTAATTTGGTACTAGATAGCGCTTTGAATTGTACTAAGATATTATTATATGTCTTTTGTTTTCTTTAGATATGATTGCCCTTTTGAATCGAGTGATGGCGACAATGACCAGCCGTGAAGAAGATAACACTGAAGAAGATCTCAAACCGATATTCTATAATAATCTATGGACCATACAGCCGTTCAAACCAAATTCATATTGGTTTTTAAAAGCAGGCATGTTGATTGTTGCTTATCCATTCCTATTTTCGTACTTTAAAATATATGGTTATAGTTGTTTATATTTACCCAACCTAAATGTAACGTAAAGAAATAGGTTGAAATATAAGAATAATATTTTCAATATTTAATTTAACTCATGCAATTAATTATCTATGTATGATATATAACCTTAATATTTGTTTGTTTTACTTTTAATTGTTTGATTGAGCAAAAATATTCATAGTTATTCTATAGTATACGACCAAGATGTAATACTGATTTGACATCTATAAAAATTGTTGAAATTAAATGAAATGTATTTATTTGCTTGAAATATGTAATAAAATTTAAGATTAATAAAATAGTGTATATTTTAATATATAAAATTAACGTGTTAATTATTTACAATATAGAAGAAGCTGAAGAAGCTGTTAGTCTGGATGTATCTAACACTAATATAACTCCCCCGCCGCCGACGGGCGAGATCTGCCTGCTGTCCAGTCCATCCATTACAGTTTCACTCGAGATGGACATTGGCAACGAGACGATACCTGTATTGGTAATGCAAGCTTCACTCACTGGACAAGTTAAAGACTGGAGTTCTGATGTAAGTCATAATTATTATTTTTTTAGTTTATATTGTATTCCATTCGGTTTGAAGTGACAATATAATAACAGTCTTCATCAATATATTGCACTCTAAAATAATAAACGTAAATAGTAAATTAGTTTTTTGGCCGACCTGTACATTATGCACTTTATTATTGAATGAGCTATAAGTGTTATATGTGCCATTTATCTTATTCTTCCAACTGAACCACCGTCAAACTGCTTGCTCCATTGCAAGCAGTTTGTCTGTAAAATAAATAAGTGTAGCAGGCTTTGAATAATGTAGGGAAATTTTTAAAAATCTTACAACATGTATATTTATTTCTAACATCGTTAATTTGTAAATGTGTATCGTTACTCAACTATGTTTTAACAGATGTAACTATTCAAAGAACATATATAGATAGTCATAGATGAACTTACATGACATGGTTTGTATATGATGTTTCACTTACAAAGCCATAGAATATTGAGTGAGTATTAAAATCGAATAAAAACCTATTAGCATCGTCCCATTATTTTGGATCGGCGCAGTATGTCCTTTTCTTACACTGATCCCTATCAGCCGTCATATCTGAGCTTAATCTACTTTTATACGTATTATTATCGCAAAAATTGAATTAATTGTATGTTTTTGTGGAATCTTGGGTAGTTCTACATGGAGTCGACATGGGCCATGCAAATGTCTTATTACAACATTGGACGTGCTGTATGGGAGCCGCTAATTGAACCCGTCGAGGTGCTGAAAGACTATCAGTACAAACACGTGCCATGGGAACTTAAAATGGAGGTCAGTCATATTGTTTAAAGTATCATTTTAAAACAGCATGAAAGGTGATTAAAAACTCAATTATTTTTCTTATGTATAGCTCCATTAATTTACTAGGTAACCTGCATTAGGAGATTCTCTTAAAACATCATTCTAGTCTGCAGATATTAAAAATAATAAAAAAACTTCTCGTCGCATTATTAGTATTATCAATTTGAAAATTTACTGGGCCATTTTATACTATTAAATGTAACGGATTATTGCCTATCTATTTCTGCAGCACATAAAATCACTACAGATTATGAAACTTTTTTTTTTGTACTATTTATAAATAATCAATTAAAATCACAAACATATTGTATTACACAATAGGCGTAGACTTTAAAATTCTAATTCAATATTGAAATCTGTAAAAGTTTAAAATAACATATCAATATTACCAATAGAAAGTCAATTTCATTCTGAACAGGAAATCGTATTCTAAGAGTTATTGGTATGGTAAATTAATTATTGTTAACAGAAATAAATTATTATTTTACCAGTTCTTGGACAGGTAGTAACTTAAATCAATTTGCAGGTGGTAATGCGACCTCAAGAAAATCACCTCTCAATAGATACGTCAGACGAAGCGGCCAATTTGCAAGCAGTCGCACAAAGGCAGGCTAACAAAACTATCACGATATCAAGCAGTGAACCGCTTGAGATCACTATCACCAGAAGTGGTATGGAGGTGAGAATTTATATTTTGTTTTCTATAATGGTTACTAAAATTATTAGTTTGGTTAAATAAAAGAATAAAATCTAAAATATTTTAGTAAACAAACAAAATGTTTGTATATATACATAATTTGATTAATTATTATTAACAAGTAAATTTTAATTAAATTGTAATTTGGTACGTTTAAAAGTAATGAAATTGTTTATTAATAATTGTTCAGTTGAGGGTAGACGTATATATTCGAGCATATTGTTAATATATTGTCGCTACTTATAGTTATAATAGAAAGTCAATAAGATAGAGGCGTCGCATTGCTGACGTCTCCATCTTACTAGTAGTCTATGTCATTATTTTTAAATATAATCCTGTGTCGGTTCTCCTTCATATATATTTTGTTTTTAAAAAGGTTGTTTAATTACATAACATATTGAGCGTTATTCTATATAATAATTTCTTATTCCAATCCCCATTTTCTGTATCTCTTTCTGGATAAAGATACAAAAATAACGATCATTGAATAAGAACTGAAAGAACAACAGGTTAACTCGTATACTAAACTAAGGAAACAATAAAATAGTGTTGTTTACCCTAACAAAGGTTATTTAATTGCATAATTGATTTATTTCAGATGCTCACACAACTTGGAAATTCATTTGCAGCTGCCGTAGCAGATACTGACAATACATTATTGTCGAAATTGAAGACAGACGATGTAAGTTTAATTATTGCGATTCTTTAAAAAATATTTTTTTACTACATTTATTGAAGAAATTAATGTTAAATGCTATTATTGTACCTAGACTACCACAAAGCAATATTATGGTGCCCCATATGTACTCCACAACTGCACCGGCCTGACGGCAAAGTTGATGCTCCAGGATAACAATGACTTCTCTGTTTTCCACACTGATGAGCATGTCTCCTCTGATTACAGGTAAGACCAATACAATTGTTTAAAAAAATGTAATATATATAGATTATTATCGTACTGTACGGGGGAGATAAATCTATACCTTATGGACATTAAAAATTTGAAAATGAGTTTCGTTTGTTTGTTCCGAACTTCTGCTTACTCAAGTGCCGTTGAAGTTTGTTATATATGTAGTATTTAAGTTTGATTAGTTTGATTTGAGAGTTTGAAAATTATAATGGGTACTTTACATTCACGTTGTTAAATTTTTGTACGTTTTACTGTCTACGCTTAGATGCACGTGTCGACTATTGATAAATTTTCCCTACGGTGCTCCTAGAAACAGCTAGACACGGTAACGCAGTATCTAGGCTGGCTAATTCTCTCACCACAAAGAAGACAAAGACGAAGATCATTCTAGCTTCCACCTGAATGGATGGATATTTTAATATAATTTAATTTCACGTACGCAGAGAGGTGGTATTGGAACCAGGCGCGTGTGTTCCTCTACAGCTGCAGCATGGTGGCCTTAATATGGTCAAGCTTAACGAACCACCACCGTCACTCAAGCTTACTGTTAAGGTAATACCATCCTCCCTGCCATCTTTATCTTACATCCACAATGTACTTATATTCATCTGGATATAAACAGTGTCTTTTATGGACTTACATGTAATAAATATATTTTTCATAGTGATTGTAGAAGGATCACTAAGGTGGATTAATAGTGCAGCTTGACATGAATGACCTTTAAAATTGTTCCTCCAACTTAATACATTTACAAATCTTCCTATTAAATTATTGTAATTCACCCATGCATTCATTGGAATGTTTATGATGCTATAGATTATTATTATTAATCATAATTATCTACAGGTAATTACATACATACAAACAGCAGAGCAAAGAGTCACCAATACCTACATAAATACGAGGAATAGTCAACAGAGACCGAAAATAACATTTATTTTTTACTGAATATGCGTTTATTTGTACAGGTAGTTGAATTGGATGACGAAGTGCAAATTCCAGTCGAGCGTGCCGATAAGCGTTATTTTACACTAGGTCGCCGGCATACTAGCTCTACTATAGAACGAAACGTACCGTCTGTCGCTGCTATTGAGCCTCGGGGGCTAATATCGGATGTTGTTATGCAAGATGCAGCCTTGCACATCTATTTACGAAGTGTTGTACAGGTTTGTTCCTTTATTTTTAACTACTACTAACTTTTTTGTTTGTATACCGATTTAAATAAAACTAATGTAAAATTTAACACAGTACATTACTGAACCGTATCCACATCGTTAAAACGTTTTTAAGATAACCGCACTTAAAGGCATATATAGAAATAGATAAACTTCTAAAAATCACTGTATGGCTTCTATTGTGTTGAGAAAATCTTTCAATAATAGTTTTCTCATATAACTTTTATATATAGACATCAATAATTTAGATTTTTATTATATGTATATGTTTTTTTCTGGTCATTCTTATGTTTTTTTATTATTATGCAGGTGACCAATACATTGTCTGTAAACGTGTCTGTGTACTACATGACACTGAGTGGCAATGAAGTCAGTTTGCTCGGGGAAGTGAAACCGGGCGGTATACTCCGCCTGCCATTACAGGCTGTGCATACGCCTACTGCTGAAATATTCTTCTCCGTTGAAGGTAACATTTATAAAATAATGGTAACCAACCGTTGTTTTAATGTAAATAAAAACATATGTTTAGTTATGGTTGATTTATTAATATTTGAATAAAAAATAACTATATTTAGTATATAGAAATATATGAATGACTCGGAGTGGTGCAAGTTATTTTGTAATATTTTGTTAATTTTCAGGTTTTACAGTATCCGTAATGCCTTTCATATGGCGTGAATTGCAGCAGGAAGTTAAGATCGCTAAATTATTACAATGCGATTCGAAAGACAAAAATAGCGGCGAAAAGTTCTATCTCAAGGTACTCGAAATTTTATTTAATATTTTTTATTTACGTCTTATTTTAATGTTATTATTAAATTAATTGTTGACTGTTCAGCAATTTATTTAATCTCGACGTAGTCTCACACATACTAATGACAGCCGAATTAAATAAATTATTTATAATCCAATATTAGGACTATTTATCAATAATAGGTTTTAGGGGGTGGTTCTCTAGGCAATTTATTATTCTATGAATCGGTATTAAAACCTTGTTTACATAAAAAATAATTTCCTTTTAGTCCATCCATTTAATAAACCTCCCAGTTTGGTTATGGAGAATATAATTAACTATCATTCTTCGACAGTAACTTATTTAAGCCGGTACATTGTAATTGGTGTGTATCATGTTTTTTTTTATTGTTTACAGGCACTTGGAACGATGGAACAAGTATTCTACGAACACTCCAATAGGCATACTTTCGCTTCTTCGTGCTATGACATCATTCTCAAACCTGCGGTGAAGCTTCAGAACTGTTTGCCAGTCGATATAGTGGTTTCGCAATTGGGGCTAAAACGCACGCAGACTTTTAAGCCTGGAGAGATGTTCCATTTATCCCACCTCTCGCCTAATAAAGCGACTGTTGTTATTATGGTAAGTTATTAGTACATTGGAGTTGTAAATATTAATGAATACAGCGAAGTAGCTATAAGTAGGACAGCATGGAGATAATATTTCTGAAAACTCGATTATTTTTGTGCAGGATTCTGGGCATTTTACATGAATGTTTTTACGAGAATATGTATTTAAGTATTACTATCGTTGTCTTGTACCCGTAATACAAACTGCTTAGCGTTACAATATTATTATTAAACTTCTCTTACAGATCGAGAACTACTTAGACAAATGCTGGGTGTGCACCAAGAATCTGCCAGAGGCAGAGAGTGAACTATCGGTTTGGTCCTTCGAGTCCCACGACAGTCCGGCGGTGATGACCCTCGAACTGGGCATGCATAGTGTGGACACTGATGGCACTCAAGTGCTGTCACTCTATTGCCCCTTCTGGATGCTCAACAAGACCGGATTCACGCTCTGCTACCGGGTCAGTATTATTTCTACCTATTCTCTCACTTACCTACATAACTCATAGATTTAATTTATCATCTGTGTGTGTGAGAGAATATGAATATTTATACATGAAAGTTCACCAAAGAAGATAACTCGGAATAACGCGTTTTCAGTTATCTATATACATTGTGTCTATCAACTGCTATCCAGATGAAGACTTATTTTATGTACAGTGTACATCTGTTATATAATTTATTGTATAGGATATTTCTACAGTGTATACCGATATATACAGTACCTAAGAGTTAGGAAGATGTAGCAAATATAGTAGATATCCAACATATTTTTGCACTCACTATTTATAGTATGGGAAAATATAAGTTTATTATCTCATATAGATAAAGATTATATTTTACACAATGAATATTTCATAGATCAATTTCTATATAGTATCTTTCTTGTCGTAATTAACTAATTGTGCTTCCAAAAGTATTTTGATTCCATTTGTATATGATATTTGTAAACTAAATATTTCAACACAATTGGCCATAAACATGAAATTATTACAGAAATCAAAGAAACCAGAAAAAGACTCCAGCACTCCCAACAAGGTATCTTTGAGATGATTAGCAGATTGTAAATTTTTAGATACTTCTATTTTTTTTTTATTAATTTAAAGCTGCTTTTTTAACAGGCTTCATCTCAAAGCGATAGTTTGATTTTGGTTTCAATTAACTGTATGTATTGAAAGTATTGATATTTATAGCATGCGCAGTAGGGTCACCACATAATCCTAGTACATATTATAGTAAAGTTTTCCTTCTATGTAATTTAATATAATCGTAACTTAAAAGCTGAATGAGTGTTAATATTAATTTTATTTTATTGCGTTACGTGCATAGGTTGAGTTATTTTTAAATTTCGCTTCAGCAATATCTGGCATGTATGTGTGAGCATTCGTAAATTAATGATTAAAATCTTTCATCTTTTCTAGTAAATAATCGTATACTTAATATTACTACTTTACGTAAATTTATCTTCTTTATATAGTTTGTAGCATAAATATATAATATAGGTTTAACAACATAACCACATTATTTGTAAAAACTTCAATAAACACATTTTACATAAAGGTATATTACTATAATAGACAGTTAATTAGATGTTTAGTGTCTATATGACCCCTCATAAATTATAAATCATCTAAGGTATGCTATCATGCGTATATGTAAATTGCAGATAAAACTTTCGCGTTGCAGTAAATTTATAAGACGTCACACGTCATGTTTACCGGTGAGTGCAAACCACAGACTATCTATGTCTGTGGTGCAAACGGTATTTATTGTGGTGGTATCGCACAAGGGCTATAGGGCTTCTAGATTTATAGTTACTGTTACGTTACGCGCAATACTTTGTCTAATTCATGTCCTGATTCAATTGAAAGTCCCAGAAAACTTATTTTGATCTATGGAAGTAATGTACAAAAATGAAATTCACAATGTTTGAAATGCTTTTTACGGAGAAGGATACATAAAACAAGTGTCACCAAATACTTCTAATTCATTGCAATGGAATTTTTGTTGTTGTTACATTGTTACTAACCTTATGTTATTATATGGTCGATTAGTTTACTGTAGTAATATTACATTCATGCAATTATTATTATATCTAATATGAAAATTTTGTGTAAATATTCTTAAAATCTGTAATATTAAAATGGGAATAGGCAATTAAAATGATTAATTGGTTGCGTGTTCCCTAATCCAATTAATAATAATAGATGATTTATCCCATCTTTTTAATAGGCAGACTGTAGTATATAGCATACTAACCAGTGTGACTTATTTGACTAATAAAAATAATATATTTATTCTTTTAATAATCAAAACGTTATTACTACATACAAAGGGTTTTAACTTTAAAATGTATGTTTGCAATATTTATTGTTGTTACCAGGTGTCCGAGGATATGCATACATTATATACAAATGAATTTAGTTTAATAACACAATTCATATATTTACACTTTATAATGCCTAAATTGGGAAATGTGACGAATATGGGAATGTGCATTTTATGTTTTAGTTAGAATGAGTTAATTTATTGTTAATGTGTTGGGGGGATTGTGCGAGGTGTTGATTATGGATTATAATGACCCTACTGTTTTATTTTCATTTAGATTTTTTTAATTAATGTACATATTTGTATTAGATTTTCTAACTTTATTGCATGTCAACCATCCCACATTGCACGATTTAATAATTCTTTATCTTTATTGTGCGTCATGGTAGTCATAGGATAATAATGTACAATTATTTTTGATATCGAGTTGTTTATTAACCTGTATTGTAATATATAATTTACACTCTGTATATATGTTGGTTATTTAAGATTGCATTGTTAAATAAAATTTTATTTAAAATCACCTTATTCTTTAGAAATGATAATTTATCCTATATATTTCAACTTGTAAGGAGGCGCACAGAATGTCGGACATAACTATTGTCTAGTACAGGTTTAGTTCAATCGCTATTAAACTAATGAAGTTATTGTAAATAGTTATAAATAAAAATAGATCTTTCTATATGTCTATTCGTGCTTCTAGTGAAAATGTTTATAATGAAAATCTTTTTAATGAAATGCTTATTACATAAATACTGCATTAATATTCTTTATATATTTTTTCTGTTATGTTATAAAATATATGGATGTTTATTCCTTTGGTTTCTACTTCAAATACTTGGGAGTCACTACTTCACATTGCACTGGCTGGGGCTAAATCATTTTGAAAATCTCACTAAACGAAGACAATCACAGTGATAAGTAAGAAAATTTTATATTATGGAATTTGTACTAAAATAAATTTGATTTCAGAACGCAGATGAAACTGGCAACGTGATATTCCATCCTAAAGATTACAAGGAGCCAATATTATTCTCTTTCCGTGCAAAGAACTTTTTCGGCAAAAAAAAGGCTGCAATCCGTGTCGAGTTTGGAGAATGGTCCGAAAAATTCTCTTTGGATGTTCCAGGAAGTTCCGGTGTGATTTTATGTAAACACGAGGGCAGAACTTATCAGGTACTAAGATTGAAATCATTTAGTGAACTTTTCCAATTCTACTAGCGGTGCGTATTGACTTTATCCCAGTTGATTACCATATAATTAAATTAAAATAATAAAGTAAGTAATTATAGAAACAGTAGTTCTGTTAGCCTCCGTGGTCTAGCGGTTTAGAACAGCGCCTTGCTTCTGATGGGGTTTGATTCCTCGCACCGTACAAGGTAATGCACAATTCAAATGTTGTTCATGAATATGATTGTTTGTATCGGTCTGAGATATTTCTATTTCTATTAAGTATGTAATAACAAAAAAATGTATCTATGTATTTATATCAGACGTCTAGTACTCATAACACAAGCTCTGTTTAGCTTGGGATTTCATAGCGCTGTGTGAATTGTTTTAAGATGTTATAGTAAAATTAAACAGTAATAATGAATTGATATCATGATGTAATGTTATAAATTTTCATTCAGGTGGCGGTCACGAATCAATTAACGTTCAATAGTTTAACGAAAATGGTGATATTTACTCCATACTTTCTCATCATCAACGAAGCACCTTTCGCAATACAGTACCAAGAACTACATAGATCTGGCGATCCCTGGCAAGAGGTATGTTATATATACGTAATGCAGAGATGTTTTATTGTTTAAGGATATAGTTAGTTATAGTAGATAAAAGTAATATTATTAATATTGATTCATTATAAGCCTAAGTTTTATACTAATACAAAGATACAATGCTTTGCTAGTGCATTGTCGTATATTTTTAAAAATATTTAGAAAATATAATATGAATTCATTTTTACATAGTGTAAAACATAGTCGCCACTGCTATCTGTTCGTTTATATCTTTTAAATTACTCATCGGATTTATAGCAGTTTACAGCAATAGATAGAGTGATTCAAGAGGAAGGTTTGAATATATAATAATGCGTGTTATAGTATAGACTGAAACAAGAAATTCAAAGATTTGTAAGGCAACGAACGATTTGTAAGATTCGAAGCCGGGACAGGTTTTAATAAAATAAATGTTGGGTCTCGATGGTTATGATAAATACATGATGCATTTTTCCATCTTGTATATTTCATTGGACCGATATAATTTCGTTTTATTTTTAATTAGGTCGAGCAAAATTCAAGTTCGCCGCTGTGGCCGGTGATAGAAAAGGAGGACAAGTTGCTTCGGTTGAGAGTGGCCGGTTCCACGGAAATTGCTTCACCTTTTTTGTTTACGGAGCAACATAGCGTCTGTCTGAAGCTCAACAATGAGGTTTTTTTTTTTAATATATGTTACTGTTTACCAAATATTTACTATATTTTTACTTCAATATGAAAAATTAAATGGATTCGCAGTCTACACAGAAAGCCAATTGGCTTTCTGAACGCAGTCTACACAGTAGACTGCGTTCTACAGTTTTGATTCAATACCCGGAGCCTTGTCGTCTTGCTTCCTAGCGTTAGAATATGTCCCCATACCGTGAATCTTAAGTAAGCAGAAATATGTGTAAGCAGTCCTTAATGATATCTATTTTATGCTGATTGTGACCTGGCCACAAACCCCCTGAAACCCGCGTTGTGACTCGACTCCAGATGCGTCACCCTCAATGTCAGTTTACTCCTGGTCCATATGTAAGGGACGATGTCCTAATCGTTGGTGACGTAGTGTAGGGACATTGCTGTGGTCGGTGTAGCAGCTTTGTGTGCCTCTTCTTCTATACCATGACGAAGCCACGGTACTGGTACCGTGACGATGGCGTCGAACATTTGCTAACACTAGTTAGTAAATGCCATTGGTATATGCCATATATTTAACAGCATTGTCTAGTACTGAGGTACACAATGTACGTATTGTAGTACGGAGGTTTGCAAGTGGAGGTGCAGCTGACAGAGGGCGGTACATACGTGACAGTGCGGCAGTACCGCGACGGGCACGCGCCTGCGTTGCTGGTCAACTACACCGATCACCAAATCACGCTCTACGAGAAGGAGAACGTCAACATCAGGTATGTGTAGAGGTGTAGACTTTATACAAAGACATCGGATTGGTACTTGTATAAAATACATGAAACAGCCGCCAATCAGCTTGCATTGTTAAATGTATTTGGAGTGAAGGATAAGGTAAGGCAGTGTCATAGGATATGCAAGCATGTGATCCTAGTCCCACAGGAATGTAATACAATTTGATGCTGTTCATGTATATAGGTCATGGTTATCAAATACTATCAGAAAGCCTAACATAAAAAATATAACAGCTCATTCGCATATTAAAGTACTTCAAATGTGACTGAATGGGCCAAAATGTTAGGTGGACCAGTTTATCGGATTTTTAAAATATGGTTGAACACAATAATAGCTGGCACATTTGTTAATTCTTTAAGACAATTATTATTCGCTATAATAATTATTGAGATAAGTATGCAATACGGGTCTAATTTAAAAATTAAGGTCTTTATTTATTAGACCACAATTATTAAATTGGACGTATTAAAGTAATAGTATATGTATAATTCTTTAATTTTGCAGGCCTCTACCGTCTATGAACAAGATGTTATATACATGGGACAACCCTGCCGGTCCACGAACGATTATATTCGAAGGTCATAAGAAAAAGGAAATAGAAAATGATCTTAGAAAAGATGGAATCGGAGAATTCTTGTAAGTGCTTCTTCTGGATATTGTTATACATAATTTCTGCGCATATCACAGTTGTGAAGGTAAATGTCATATTTAGCATTTTTATTTTCTATCAAAATCACATTTATTTTATTAAATAAAATAAAGTAGGTTTTTTATGGATTGATGAATGTAGAAGAACCGAAAGAGATCTTTTTGACTAGCTGTCTTTTGAGTTTTTTTATTTGATTACACTTTGGAACAGGATTAACGAGACCACCAAAATATGGTGGGTATCATTCTTGGACGGACTGCAGCGAGTTATCCTGTTTACGGAGAACGCCATGCTAGCAAGCGGCGCACACACCATCGGGGAGGCCGAGCTCGTCGATACAGAGATCGTGCTGTCCATGCAGGGCATGGGACTCTCCCTTGTCAACGATCCAGAACTGCTAGAGATCCTCTACATCAGTATATCCAAGTATGAATTATGACTCAGTTTAGTGCATTCGTTTTCTTCATAGTTTTCAGATATATAAATAATTGTTATTAATTTGCATTTTAGTTCCGGTATCATATGGGAACAATGTAAAGTTGGCGGTCGTCGATACAAAAAAATGGAGGGTCCAAAATTGATACAGCTCGAAGAGGCATATCAACGATATTTAACGGAGAAAATGATCAGCGAAAACCCAGTATCGCCACGAGTAACTTTGGAAGATAAACTAGAGGTAAGTTTTATAAATAATTGTTTTGATTTCTTTTGATCATTCAACTGAGTCTAATACCCTTAATTTCGACTTAGTACTATATTTTTATGGGCTTTCAACTGCCACATTTTCTGTCATATGTATAGATTATATAGGTGACATTTATAAAAGTGTTAGTGTATGTGTCCCAAAATGTCGAGTATTTACGTAAACTGTTATAATGACTACTTTCAAACTTAAAAAACTGGACGGTAGGTTGTAAAAATAAAGTAAATTATAGTTTGTACAAAATTGTTTACGTTCCTTGCTTACCAAATACATGCTGCTTTGTACTATGTTTCGGTGGGCAATGGCAGTGAAAATGCAGGCTTACAGCATGACACCTTAGTACTCCAAAATTACAACAATGAGATATCATATGATGAAGTTAGTGTATGTAGGCGTCGGTTCCCGCACACCATCAGGTGGAGCATCTGTATAAAAAATTGCAAATAGTGGAGTTATGGCATATAAATTCGTACACGTATTAGAATATAACGCCCGAATGTCTCATGAGCTGCTTTATATATCGAAAACCGGTGAAATTTATCCAATTTACAAAGTGTATTGAACAAAAGTGATCGATTTGTGATGAAGGTGGACTTCGAAGAGATGCGTATACTGAAGCCGTCGCCGCGGCTGGTGCGTCGCACGCTGCAGCCCGGGCTGTGGGCGTCGTGCGGGCTCACGGCGCACTCGCGGCGGCTGCACGCGCGGCTGCACCGCCTGCAGCTCGACCAGCAGCTGCCGCTGCCCACGTTCCCCGTAGTGCTGGCGCCGGTGCCCCCGCCGCGGTCCATCGCCAACGTCGACACCGCTGGTATGTTGTTAATAAGTAATTCTGGACGCACATCTATCTGATGCCTACACATAAACAGAGCAGAGCCAAGTGTATTAAGTATGTATTTAAAAAAATTGTATATCTGTCAGTTATAGCTTGCCCCCACCTCGCTCTAGCGCCAACGTTGACCCCAATGTTTTTAGTTAATAGATGAATAGTTCTTTATATAAATCTATTGGATATATATTTTAAATAAATCAGAACTACTTACCAGATACTAAAGAAAGCAAATTATTGTGCGGGGATAAACATTTTAGTTACAAGATAGTCGTAGAGTAAGTATAATATAAGTAATTATAGATAATTTTTTTAATATTTTTTTTTTATAATTTGTAATTGTATGTTGTCTAATGGAGATGTCAAGAATCTTTGAAACATCCATGAGGCATGGTGTGAGTGAGGCAATAATTGTGTGTAAGGACAGAAGTTTGTCCTGTTCTCTCTATATAACCTGTAAGGGAATTGGTGTCAAGATTGATAAGCGAAATATATTGGCGGTATTCATCATATAACGTGATACATTTTAACGGTGTTTAGCTAACCTATTATTAACCTATTTTATTGTCTTTAGGGCCAAAACCATTTATAGAAGTGTCAATAGTGGAACGTATAATGGAACACAGTAAAGTGCGGCAGTACAAGTATTACAAACTGCTCATCCAAGAGTTCCACGTGAAGGTGGATATGGGACTCATTAACGCGCTCATGGGCATGTTCCCGCAGCGACTGCTCACCGAACAGGAAGCTGTGAGCCTTAATTTGTTTACTTTTAAATATTTAAGAAATTGCCTTTGACAATAGTTACCATATTTAAGAAAGACGTAGTGTAAATACTAGAAATGGCGTGTCAAATAATAATAGTGTCAGACTAGTAGTGAGCAACCTTTTCAATCAACGGGCCTATTATTTCTTTTGGCATGCCGCTAAAATTTAATAAGCATAATTTCAATAATTATAATAAACCTGGACAAACTACACAGCGGCATCTAGTCTCAAACTTTTGATTGAATTCTGTTAGTTTTTGTAAGGATTATTTATGAAAGCTATTAATTCTGTTGTTTCAGCTTGATGCTTTCCAATTGGATCTCGAAAAAGCAGGTCAAGCATTGGAAGCACTAGCAGCAATGGGCGTTGCATCAGGTCAAAAGAATTTCTACGACAATTTACATTTGTCGCCACTTAAGGTCTGTTTGTTGTTTTTTATTTTAGTCTTATCTGTTATTTGATATCTTCGACATCTGTACTTACTTTGATAAGTACTATAAAATCTAAAGACGTAATTAGTTGTTACTACTACTCAATGTCGAACACATTTTTTTAAAATGTCGTTTACTTTGTTTTTGACTAATGTCGAGAAAATAAATTCAATGAAACTCGTAAGTAAAGTCATATGCGAATTTTGTTGAATTTATTATTTCACAATTTTAGATGTTTTGTTGACGCTGTGTTAAGACTGGAGAATATCTTTTTTAGTTATTTGTATGATTTATTTCTTTTTGCTTGGAGACAATTAACACTTTCTACCAGAAGAATATTATTAAATATGTTTATATACCATTATTGTCTGTATTTATAATAATTACCGTATCTTAGAGTGCATCAATATATTTTGATACATTTTTAATAATGGTATTTACATTATTAGGTGCACGTTTCTTTCTCACTCGGAGGAGCAACTCAACTTCCCACGTTCGTCGGTACAGTGTTGCAAAGTATCGGTGTGACGTTAACGGATATGAACGATGTTGTGTTCAAGTAAGTTTGAATTGTTTACTTATAGAAACTGTTTCGATGTCATGTTTAACCGACTGCCGACTAATGTGGATTTACATTTCCATAGCGTTTTTGTATTAGATATGTGATTTCTGCTATCTATTAAAATTACACCTATATAATACCATAATTTTTTTGTCTCAGTAGTAAATACTATAAAAGTTCTGTATCTGTAAAATTATTTTATTACCTTCATGAAATTTAATGCCAACATTACGATTATGTACTGCAATACGGGGACAGAAAAATAATATTTATACCACTACATACTTACTACGCCGGCTAAACTGTTTGGAGGGTCGAATTTCGGTTTCCGTCCTTTGCACTAATGCGACTTGGTTTCTTGCCCTTTTAGATTTTTACGATGTTTCTGCAATGTAATGGTCTTGTGAATTATTACAATATGACAGAGTACATACTGTATCGCACGGTGATAAATTACTCGATTTCAATTTATTATCAATTAAAATATTTTTTCAGATTGTCATATTATGAGAGAAACTACGAGTTTTTATCACAGAAAGAGTTGATCGGCCAAGTCCAAAGTCATTATACGGGACAAGCTCTTAAACAATTATACGTCCTAGTGCTAGGATTGGACGTGATTGGTAACCCTTATGGTCTGGTAGTTGGATTGAAGAAGGGAGTTGAGGATTTGTTCTACGAGCCCTTCCAAGTAAGCAAATTATAAATATGTACTTATTGTTTGTTTTATATTATTTGAGGGTATTTTGATTTTATCATACGATATATTATTTACTAATATTTTTGAAACCGTATTAATATTCTGGAGTTCGATAAAAAGTACTTGCGTTCATAAACTTCATTTATAAGAATCCTTGTGTGCAGAATGTAGAATATATGCAGCATGTAGTGAGAATATGCATAGAAAAAAATATTATACTTCAATTTTTTTTCATTATGTACTGAAAATCTGAAATATAACATATATAATAATTTGCGTTTATGTTGTAATGTTTTCAAACTCTTGTATCACTTTTTTTTTATACTACCACTATAGCAAACGAGCATACGGCCCATCTCATGGTAAACGGTTACCATTGCCTATGTATGCCTATACACCAGATGTGTCACGTGCGTGTTGGTAATCCTGAAGCAACTTTATGTACTCATCTCGAGAAAACCTCAGGTCCACAATCTGAGTGTACGCGGGACGAAGCTCTGATACCGCATTCTCAGAGTCCACTTAGGTTCGAGCATGTAAGCATGAATTCCCTGTCGATGCCTGTCGATGGCGATTACATGTCCGTCTAAAACTGATATTTATGTCCATCCATTGCAGTTTTTGACATGTAATCGATATATCATCCGTACATGACCGCTAACGGTTAGTTGTAATGCGTGCAGGGGGCGATCCAGGGCCCGGGCGAGTTCGCGGAGGGCCTGTTCCTGGGCGTGCGGTCGCTGGTGGGGCACACGGTGGGCGGCGCGGCCGGCGCAGTCTCGCGCATCACCGGCGCCATGGGACACGGACTCGCAGCTCTCTCGCTCGACAAGGTCACATGCCTTATACTTATAAAGAGTTAGTCGGAAAGAATAAGAATATAAAAGTACCCATGGTAACGTAGACTTTCCTTGAAATTTTTTTTTCGAGAAAATGGGTTCATATTTAGTAACAGGTTAGATAGCCCTATCATAATATGAAATAAAATAAAACCAAATAAAAAAAAATATTTTTATTCATGTAGGACATTTTAGCCTCTTATGAACATCAATTTTTTTGTATTAATATTTTTCCCTACCATCCTTAAATAATAGTGTTTTTGAATGAAAATCGGAGGCGTGCTTTTATTGATTACGGCTTTTTTTTATTGATAATCAAAGATGCTTTACTGATTTTTTGTAATATATAATACATGTTTATTTTTGTATGAAAGAAAGAATAAAAGTGATCAATTAGTTATTAGTAATATGTTGCAGTGTTAGCGGCTTAGTATACCCTATTCGACTAACCCTGTATATATAGATTATCTAAACATGCGACGTTTTAATATCATATTAACTTATATTATTCTTATAGGATTACCAAAGGCGAAGGCGTGACAACATAAACAAACCACCGGCAAACTTACAAGAAGGTCTTGCTCGCAGCGGGAAAGGTCTTGTTATGGTACGTTAAGAAGTTTCCTTTGATACAATACAAACTGAATGAATTCAGTTATTAATTTTATTTTTAAATGTTAATAATATTGTTATGATTTTCTAATATTTTTTTATGTAAATTTCATTAGCTTGTTTTACTGCGAACAAATTTACGGCTTAGCTCCATAGTTGGATGAAACCCTTTGGAGTCATCCTAACAGTATTTCTGTATATAAAATATAAATAAATAATCAATTCTTGTACACTTTTGAAAATTAAATTTAAATATTTGATGATTGATTTATTTTACCATTAAATAAATGTGATGAAACCAAACAGGGGGTCGTGGACGGAGTGACCGGGGTATTCACGAAACCGATAGAGGGCGCTCGTGATCAGGGCGTGGAAGGGTTTTTCAAGGGGCTCGGGAAGGGCGCGGTGGGGCTTGTAGCTCGCCCTACAGCTGGTGTAGTAGACTTCGCCTCTGGGTCACTCGATGCCGTTAAGAGGTGACGTTTAAACTGTAGCATGCATGACTTGCTTGGGTGTGGGTATACTATAATTTTTTTTATATGGATGATTATCGCTTTAATATAAAATGTGAATCGCGCTTTGTTGGAAGTTAATTGCACTTTAGTTTGCTTCTTATTTATTTTTGTGGTTTAACGTATACTGAAACGATTTGTGTGATGTGCCCAGCGTTCTTTATTTATTTCAGTACTTCATTTTCAGATCTTAATGTTAATTAATATATAATAAATTTACTCTTTAAATTATTAATATATTTCTATGTTCTACTATCTCTAATACATTTACATAAATATGAATACGAAGAAGGCTTGTTCCAATAAAAAAACCATCTAAAATAATAAATTACTTTTGTGTGAAATTTATATACATATCAAACTTTGATTGATCTATTCATATAGCAAAATCCTTGCATGTTTGTAGTATACTTAGCTTTAACCACTTATTAATTTAATAACAGTTAAATATTACGGTTACGAAAATATAGATCATCAAGTTATTAAATCTACGTAGGTGACCTGACGTATATTAGTTTTAGTCGGTTGTCCTTAGGGTGTAGTGGATGGTGTCCGTGGTGTGGTTATTCGCCCTTTGCAAGGCGCTCATGAAGGCGGTGCAGGGGGTTTCGTTAAGGGGTTGGGCCAAGGTGCGCTAGGACTTCTTGTGCGACCGGTAGGTGGAGTCGTTGACTTCACTTCTGGACTACTTGCCTCTGTTAGAAGGTTCCAGATGTTGCTCTCGTTTCTATAGTTGACTATGTGTAGATCAAGTGTAAAACGAAGTAATTGCATACATGTATATTATCATATTAAAAATAAAATAAAATTTATTTTATAGTCTAGAATTAGTGTAGTATTTTAACCATTCTTGTACTTTAAGAGTAGGTGGTGTTTGTTAAGAAAACGAGGTTATAATATAGAACCAAGGAATTTTAAACTACATAAAAAGTATATAATGTAGTAACTATATTAACCAATATAGTCGAATAACTAAAGAATACTGTCGGTATATATTATTAGGAAGTTTATACAAATAAAATTTTAGGAGCAGGAAAATAATTTGCTTTTCTGTTTTTGAAAATAGTAAGAACTATATATTTCCTTAATGGGTTTATATTATTTTGTCTAATTCCGCTACCAATAGCATACAATATGTATGTATTGCTTTATATACGCTAATGTCATATATAATTGCATAGTACTAAACTTACTTATTAAATATATTTTGGTTAATTTGTATTTATTTTTATTATAATAACAGTTGTATTGCTTTCATTACAGTTTGGTTTATTTTGCTTAATATAATTAAAAAGTATATAAACTTATCATAAATTGATCTTTGATGCTTTATTGGCAAATATTTAACTGACGATATTGTAATATATGTCTCGTGTATTGTATAACAGGGCAGCAGATCTGTCTGAGGAAGTAACGAAACGTCGCGCAGCGCGTTACCTTCCAGCCGATTCAGGTGTAAGACCGTACTCGAGACTGCAGGCTGAAGGATATAAAATGTTATTTGAACTTGAAAAGGTTTGTGTTACATCAGTTTTTGTAAAAACACGTAGAATTAAGATAGTAGATTGATATCGATTTCGACAGTACAATACTATATATAGCGTAGAGTTCTGTAGTTGTGTGTAGTAAGTCTGAGCACACATATTGAACATTCGATATAAAAATGTATTTAAAAAACATATATTCTTTCAATATATGCAAAACTCGGATATAAGAAATATTTTATATGACTTAGGAAACGTAAAAGTTTAAGGATATCTAATAGAAAGTAGTAATCGTTGTCTAAAACATGAACCGACAGCAAGTGTCACAAAATACAGTAACATTCATGATATCTCTCGTATTATTTCACCTGAATATAAAGCTATTAATACTCCATAGAGAAGCTATTTAGTGAAATTATATATAAAGTAGTGTTTCAATATTTAATTCAAATGAATTTGAATGATAGAGTAGGCATTGTAAATTCTTAAAATGCATAAATACTGTTAGTATGTCATAATTGTTATTACTGAACAGGGTAAATTCGTGAGCACGGACACTTATGAGGCGCACGTGTGGGTGATACCTGCAAAAGAAGTAGTTATGTGTACTGATAAACGACTGCTTTACTTGGAGAAGAATAATGTATTCGGCGGGTGGCAGGTTTGTTCAATTTGTATTAATATTTTTTCGAAAATTCTTGAACGGTATATTTAATTGGTTATGTCGACATATCCAACTATGTGCACGAACTAAATGCATGCATTATATATGGATGCAAGTGTGTACTCGTATTAACATGTATGATACATGACTGCTGCTTCACTTCTATATAGAAAATTTAGAGTGTATATTGATTCAGTAGGTAGAGTATTTCGAGAATGACATAAAACTAATAAAATATTTGTATAAATTTACTCGAGATTTAGTATTTTTAGATTACAGTCCGGCAAATAGCAAAGATGTATGTTGTGTTTAAAAGTATATATTTTTTAACAGATCGTGTGGTCATACCTTTGGTCGGAGATTCCCGAAGTGCCAACAGCTGTCAATAAAGGTGTCTACATACCTACTGCCAAAAAGAAGGTGCTAGGAATGTTCCCGAGTTCCGGTTCGGGAAAAGTCATATTCCTATACGACGAACAGCAAAAGAAATATTTACTGGCACAGTGCGAACGGCTAATGCGTTCGGGGCGTTGACATGATCACGTAGAAAGAATATCCCCCACGGAATGGCTGGGAGAGTTCTTTCTACTTATATTCGATTATCGCACCGCGTTGCTTACACTCGCGTATCACTTTAACATGCACCACTTAAGCCCGAAAGGCTTCCGCTGACAATTATAGCTGATAGCATGCTTTAAAGTAGACGATCTATTAATTTTGTGTTGTTTTTTTTTAACGTGTGCTTGTGTTTTGATGTATTTCTTGAACCACATTTGTTTATCGAATATGGCTGTATGTATGGTTTTTGTTACTCTAAATATATAAGATTGATTCTAATCTCGTAGACATGTGAGTCAGTATGTATTGTCAACTTTGAAGGAAATGAGAATAATAAAAATCTATAAATATACGGACTATGTAGGTATTATTGTACCGTATTTTTTGTATGGAACTTGACACTGTATGTCAAATGTTTACGATATTATTTAGTTGGATAATTTTATAATGTTATACATTGATATACTTGATGTAGTTATACTTGAGATTTAAACTATTAGTTCGAATCATATTCATCTTTTAAATAATTTAATAACAATGTGCATTTAAGAAACACAATTTTCAGTCTTCCGGTACAGTTATCTATTTTATGTGATTATGGATTACTTATATGAATATGGCAGTGTGTCATTGTTCACTTAATTTACAAAGAATTGCCTTATAAATGAAATATATTATTTCTAAGTTATTGTTATTCTGAAATTATTCGAACATGGCAGAATCACACTGTATCCTATGTTCAAATATGAATATTTGTGTCATGAATGATGTACTTATAAGTTGTTCGATTACTTTATGCTAAAATTGTTTCTTTTTCTTGAAACTGGTTTAAATTATCAGAAATTTAATTCAGAAAGATATAAAAGTTTTTTTCTAAACCTAAGAGTACAAAGATATTAATGATAACGTTTTTATGTTGTTGTTACTGTTACATTTAAATATGAACATATAGAGAGAATTACTTGTCACAGCTGAGGCGTTCCAATAACAGTGCCTTATGGTCAATGTATAGAAATATTGTTGTCTGTTTTTTCTTTTATGTTTGATGTTGAATGTTCAATATTTTAATGCATCATCGAGTTATCAGTTTGCATATTTAAATATAATATGTTAAGATAAATGCTATTTGCCTATTAAGAGACTGCCACAAAATCCTCAGATTCGAGTTGTAAAATTTTATTCACTTTTTATTACTCTTTATTTTGATAAAGCATTTATGTTTTTGTGTTGTATTACGCGTACTTTCTACTTGTTGCTTCATGCGCACTTTACTAATTGTTTTATTTTTTCTCTTATTGTCCAAGCTTCTGTACAAGTATATTGTAATAAAGTTAAGAAATATATTAATTGCTGTAGTTTTATTTAATAATGTAAAAACAGAAACCAGTTTAGTGTATAATCTGGTTTCTGTTTTTATAAACGAGAAAGTTCTTAATTGAAATGGTATACGTATTTACATCCTTGTTGGTATACATTACATCCTTGTTGGCATACAAGGATTTAAATACTTTTTTTTAATAATACATCCTATGTATCATGACTTACGGTGCCAATACGTGGATACGTACGATACGGACAGACAGACAAATACGGACCAAAATTCGTAAGTCGATCAACAAGCTATTGATAAAGCTATGCTTGGAATTACTCTAAGAGATGAAAACCGAAACAAAGTTATTCATGAAAGAATTAAGGCCATACGTAGATCATATGATGGTCTAGCCATTGCCACATCATCTTACAAATTCTGTCGTGGAACAGATAGTGCCTGCAGTAGACTTGTTCTAGAGTAGAGACCGTGAATCGGCATACGAAGCGTCATGATGATACAATATAAGATATATAGTAACGACTAACAGTCATTACTGTATATCCCAGCTGAAATGATATAATGCGACATATTTATCAGAATGTCAACCAAAATTAGTAAAATAAAGTAACTAATTAATGTAAACTAAATTTGAATAAACATACCTACTTGTATCTGTGACCTAAATCGGAATACGCTTTTTTAAATGAACAAGTTAAACTATGTCTACTATATTGAGAACATAACGTATGGTAAAAAAAAAAATTTAATGGATTATTACGGAATGCTGCATAGGCCAGTGTTATACTAGCGGGATAGCAGTGGAGGACGATAAAATGAACATCGTGATAAATTGACCTGGAATTTATCACGATGATTTCCAGGAGAAATCGCGTGGAACTTAACCTGACATGATATATTATTGCTTATTGCCAGTAGCAATGAGGTCATAAGTCCACATTACTAAGAATACCCTTTTCCTCCCACCTAGTTACGGGTTTTTTTACGATGATATGGGGTAGTCGGTATCGTCGTTAACTGTCGATGTAGTGGTGAACAAAACACTTGATTGATATATATATAAGTAGATTTGAAACCAACGTGGCAGAGGGCAAGCCTCCCAACGTATCTTGAATCTTTCCTGGAGAGTTATTCGAAATATAAATACACAAAAATTTCTTGGTTTCACCAGAATTTAAGTATTTTACCCAGTATCTTTTGGATGTATGTTGAAATTGCATGTAATTTGATTGTGTGAAATTTAATTCTTAAATACACAATTTATATAGGTAAGTACCTATCTAAGTCGTATTGAAAACTGTCTCTTCTTGAAATGTATTAAGACATACCTACCTCGAAATAGAGTTCTAAATTTCTGTTATGATTTTTTTACCTAATTCGTAAGGAAAACAATTAACCAAAATTTTTGAATTAGGTAAGTACTTACCTGATGGTGAGTCAATAAAATACAACGTGAATGTAGAAATTTATTTGAAGTCAGTCCAATTTTAATTAAAGTATTAATACTCTAGCAATTCTTTCGAAGTTCATTTGTTTCTTTTTATTTACTGCCAGGGCCATAGTAGCGGGTCAACCCGCTACTATGATGTCTACTATTCTTATCTAAGTACTTTATTGCAGTGTTCTATAGCAAAATGACCTACACACGACAAACTTAATCAACAATATCGAATGCCCCTGAGTGCTTCCTAGACCACGTCTTGAGTAGTGAAATCATGGCCGATTTCTCATAGCGTTCCCGCCGCCGATTTTCCCTTCACCACATGTTCAATATTGTCCTAGATTTTGTGTCGTGTATCTACAGCTCTTTTTATATTGCTCTTTTAATACTCTTAGGTATACGATAAATTCTAATGATCTTGATGTGATTTAACCATTTACCGCCAATAAGAGTCTTCTATAACTGTTAAAAAGAAGACATTTTCAATTTTCCGTTTGTACAGACAAACACAAAATTTTCTAGTATAAGAATGAATAATTTCATAGAGTAATATAAAATCCTTTTCTACTTCCATCACCATTTATTATTTTCGACCATTGCTATATTAATCATTAGTTAATCATTAGATAAGTATATTTGTGAATCTAGGGACTATAATAAACATATTTCTATTTTACATCTCTATTGTCAGTGGGCGTTTCTATAATAATTCAAATAACACGAAATTCAGAAAATGTCTATGTTATAAATAGGAATTTGGAGATGGGTATTACCTATTCATCAAAGATATTATTGGGGACTCTATTTAATAGCAATGATTAATATGTAAAATTTAAACATAAACCCGCTCCTTATAGACGTGTTACAATCAAATGACGTTATAAAGTGTTTTATATTCAAACAATAAAACTGGTGTTATGACGACTTACGTCTTTGAATGTAATGACATCTTCATTTACCTACGCACGTTAAAATTTAAGAATCGTTAACTTAATAATCCCATAAATTGAATCTGTAGCCATATATCTATATTAGCTGTACGGCGTTTACCTACTAAAACTAATTAGTGTGCATTTATATAGATACCTAGTTTTGCCAAAGTTGTCTACGTAGGTACACCTTTGTTCAAAGTTTCACTTATTTCAGTCACCAAACAGGCTTGCTTTGTAAGATGTGTTTCTTTTAAAGAGTGAGATGAGGAAGCGAAATTACAGGGCACGGAGCCATGTCACTTATTCCTCCGAAACGGCAATGCGTGAGATTGGTGAGATAGGGGCGTAGATAATGTGTTGTTCGTGGTACATTAATGTATTGAGGCAAAGGGATGGTTACCACTTACCATTAGATGGGTCGTCGTTTGTTTCCCATCTTCCCAAGTTACACAAAAAAAAAAGTTATGTGCTTATTAATTTTCTATGAATACCACATTGACCATTTACCACCTACTACTAGCAAGTAGCACTGACAGCATCCTCCTTTATTACCAATCGCTCTATAATTGTCTTTGTTTAATATTGTTTACTATCAAAATGATAGTCGATGCAATTTTGGAAGATTTATGAAATAGATATCTTTTATTGTAGAATACAACAAATATATTTTTATCAAACTCAACCGACAACTACATTTATTAGGTCGGTTATATCTATTATTTAATTAATAATAATATACACATTTATATAGACATAATACAGACAGAAATGTTTGATTTGTTTAGGTTTGTTACATTTCATTTAACGTAACTAAGAATAAAGAAATAGATGGACAAATTTCTGTTATTATTGTTCTTTGTCTGAGTAAAAACACTGTGAGTTGGTTATACCAACTGACCTAGATTTTACTTTAGTTATAAGTACTTTCCTGTTTCGTAATATTCATATGATATTTGCATAAAGAAGCTAACACCCTGACACGAAGTTTGTAAATGCAAGCTAAACATTAGAATCTACGAGCAAACTGCAGTTGCATACACGTTACTGTTGTATTGGAAAATAGTTGACTGGCTCTGAAAGTAGTTTCAAATCAGGTTAATCCAACGTGTATCCTACTATGGGACTGTTACAATCGAATTATTCAGTGATAGTACGAATAGAAGGGTCAGTATTGGCTGCCATTTGTTTAATGAAGAAACAAAATTTATTGAAAGTTTGTTTGGGACCACAATTATAGGGTAGAAGTATCAATCTTCCATAAAACTTTAGAAGCACGGGTATATCTAGAGAGGAAGGACAGTTAGGGGCGGGCACTTGCCCGTTCTTGAAAATATTATGCGTGTCAATATTTAATAGATAGGTACTATACTTTGGAACTATTCGAATTTTCATAATTTTGACAATTGCAATGTGTTTTTGTTGTATAAATTGACCATCTATTGTCAAATAATAGTTCATTTTAAAATTATCACAAATAAAAAAAAAAAGGAAAAAATCTTAGGCACAAGCATCTAATGAAATGCAAAAAATATTTTAAGCTGTGTTTATGTAAAATTATTTACGTAATAAATACATACTAATACTGGACATTGCAGATATTTGCTCAACAGGTGGCATTAGTATAAAATTAATTTGTTGCTACAAAGTAGATTACTTTTTTTTCATATTTGCATATTATGTTTGTACTTACTTCTTTATTTATTGTTGTCGGTTACCAATAATGTAAAATAGACTTATATATATAATGTATAGGTATGTGTCAATAGATTCAAAGGATGGACGAGAGAGCACATTACAAGGACGTATTCTATTGTTAAAAAAAAAGAAGTCGCGGTCTAAAGTTAGAATTAATTAATCAAAGAGAAGAGTTCATTCACGCTCTCCATATATGTAGCGCTATACAAAAAAGGCCAATTGGATATTTTTACGTTATACAGAATGAGCCATGTCGTTCCCTGCTATACCAAAATTAAAAACTTAAATAAAAAGGTACATCGCTGTACTATGTTGATACTTATGTATGTATATGTATTTCATACCCCGTGCCGCCTCGTTTCAGGTCAAGCTATTAGCCTAAATTAACGCAAAACCATCCACTATAAGAACATTGTTGATTATCCCAAGGGTATGTAACAAAAATGCTAAAATTAATTTGAACGTATAATGGCTAAAGGTAGTCGGCACGATATTCTCTTAAAATATTCAATAATAAGCTACAAAATTGTTCGAAATCAACAAGCACTTTTAGTATTTTAATTATATGATGCTTAGTTTAATTTATTTATGGAAGTGAACAACAGAATATTCCGAGCTAATGTAATGAATATGAATTGATTATCCACTCGTGTAGTGTATTTGTAAATAAATATGATTGTGAATTGTACCTTTAATGTTTGCACTATTTAATTCTATAACCATTTCATTTCCATTCATAAATTAGTAGATAAACGAATTATGGAAAACTTAATAATTAGACACAAAACGTACAACACGCTACGTTATACGCTAAGTAAATACAGCTAGGTATTATTATTTTATATAGCTTATTATATATTCGATCGCTAATTATTATGTTAAAAATTATCTTGTATATATTATAGACAATATTATGAGTGTTAGAGATGGAATG